CAACTCGGGGAACGACCCTGGGAGACCTAGGACAAGACCGTGCTGTGACATGTGACGCAGGCGCTGGAGGGCGGGGTGACCTAGACGGTGGTGCCACAGGAGTGTCGGGTGAGTGAGCGACCGACAGGAGCAGGCCGCAACAACCTGGGTAGACGCAGCCTACCAGGGGGGTCGTAGTGTCCAGTGTGAACAGGCCGGACACCGGGTCCCAGGGGAACGTGGTGAGGGGGGCACCAGTGGCGGCCTCGGTACAGACAGCGTACCGCTCATGACCAGGGAACGTAGTGGTGACGTCAAGGTCCTGGAGGCAACCGACACCAACTAGGTTCCTGGAGAATGAGGGGATGTGCAGGCCTGTAAGAGAGCCCGAAGGAACCGCCGGACAGGGAAGGGTGGTGGAACCGTGGGCGACTACCTGGCCGGAGGAGGGGTCAGCAAGGGAAACTGCAGCAAGAGTAGCAAGCGGCGTCAGCGTAGTGGAGTCACGGAAGAAACACCGAGAAGCGCTAGAGTCAAGGGTGAAGGAAAGCGCAGTGGTGGCGTCCGAAGACAGAGCAGCGACAGTAGAACCTAGGCTAAACAAAGCAGGGGATCCTACGCCTGACGCAGCAGGGGAGGCAAGACTAGACATGCCTGTACTAGGCAACAAGGGGTAGTAAGAAGCAGTCACACTAGAGTCATGAGCATACATCACATGCAGAGCAGCAACAATCTCATCCATGTCCATATCAAAGATCTGAACGTTACGGCGAAGCAAGCTATGCCAGTCGGGGAGGTCGGGCGACGGGCCGAAGCGCTGACGAAACAGGTCATCCAGGCGACGGAAACAGCGGACGGAGGTGTGACCAATCTTACCGCAAACAGAACCACGGCGAGGACCGGTCTAGAGCTGGTACTGACAGCGCGTGCCACCCGACCCGCCACCCGGCAGCCCACCAAACGCACGACCACCACGTCCAGTGCCACCACCAGCGCCAGGCCACCCGAGCGGGAGGCCACTCGCCCACCTCTGCTGCTGCGGCTGCTGAGGATGGTGCGAGGGCTGCTGCTGCGGCTGGTGTGTGTCCGGCTGCGACACCTGCGGCTGCTGAGGCAGCTGCTCGGCTGCACCTGTCAGGGTCCCCTTGTCAGCTCTACCACTAGGCGACCTGACTCCACCACCACCTCCACCTGCACCTACACCCCCACCGCCGTGCCCAGCCTTAGGGCGGCGGCCCTTCCCGGAACGGATCTGCGCTGCAGCTGCGGACTCAGGTACAGTGACAGAACCGTCGGAGAAGGTGCACTGAGCGGGAGCACAATCCTGAAAGATAGGGACCGGCACACTACCGCTGGTCTGGGCGATAGAGCGCTGACGGGTCTCTATGGCAGTCAGGGTGTCGACAAAGTCAGTGAGAGTGAGGTCACCAGGGTGGGTGCTATGGAAGTGGTCGCGGGCAGTGGCAAGACGATCAGGGAGGCGGGTGGCAAGCAGGTAGAGGGCAGAGCAGAGGGGCGGCTGAAAGGCTCTAAGCTGTGTCTCAGTGCAGGCAGCACGCCAGGTCGCATCTATCGTGCGCAGGTGAGCGGCTAGGTCAGCGACAGAAGGGAAGGACGCAAGGTCAGGGAAGAGCACCGGCAGGATCAGGCGACCTACAAAGGCAGCAGGCGGGGTGGAATACCACTTGACGGCGACCTCTAGAATCTCCTGTGCAGTCGTGTCTGACCTAAAGCGTGGGCGCTCAGTCAGGGGGAGGGCATGACTGATCGCAAGCTGCGCGACAGCGTCACGCGACAGCCAAACTGAGCAGGCAAGGGCAGCAGCTGCAGCGGACTCACGGTCAGCGGACGAGGGGTCAGCGGGCAGGGGAGCCGGGGGGTCAGGGCAGGGGAGCGTACCGTCAAGGTGGACCGCCAGGGAGTGGCCGTCCTGCCGCTGACCAGTGAGGTGACACCGGAGGTCGACCAGCCACGTGTCAAACTCGATCGGCTGTCCCTCTGCGTCGAAGCGAAGCACGGAGTCCGCCATCAAGAGCGATGCAGCAGCGGCGCAGTGCTGTACGGTGCAGAGCGGTGCAGTGTGGTGCTGTGCGATGCAGAGCGGTGCAGTGCGGAGCAGTGCGGTGCAAAGTGGTACAGCGCGGTGTAGTGCGGTGCTGTGCGGTGTAGAGCGGTGCCTGGCGGTGCTGGTCGGGAAGGACGAGCTGGGCACGAGTCGGAGGTGGGCGGCGGCGAAACGAACGCGGGCCCGGCAGGGAGCGGGCGTGAAGAGGCCGGCTAGGAGAGGGCGCGGGGCCAAAATGGGGCGGGTGCAAGGGGCCGGTATGGGGAGAGCGCGATGGGGGCGCGAGGGGCCGGCTAGGGAGGGGCGCGACGCCTCAGGGGAGGGGCCGGCTAGGGACGGGTGCTACAGGTGGGACGGGCGCGACGGCTGGGACGGGCACGACAGCGCTGAGAGCCGGCTAGGACGGCCGCGGTGGCTCAAGGGGGGCCGGCCAAGACGGGCGCGACGGCACAGGGGGCCGACTAGGACGGGCACAACGGCTCAGGGGGCCGGCTAGGATGGTCGCGAACGGCGCAGGGGGCCGGCTAGGAACAAGTGCGACGGCTTAGGGGGCCGGCTAGGACGGGCGCGACGGCTCAGGGGGCCGGCTAGGATGGGCGTGAACGGCTCAGGGGGCCGGCTAGGACGGGCGCGAACGGCTCAGGGGGCCGGCTAGGACGGGCGCGAACGGCTCAGGGGGCCGGCTAGGACGGGCGCGAACGGCTCAGGGGGCTGGCTAGGACGGGCGCGACGGCTCAGGGGGCCGGCTAGGACGGGCGCAAACGGTGCAGGGGGCCGGCTAGGAACAGGCGCGACGGCTCAGGGGGTCGGCTAGGACGGGCGCGAACAGCTCAGGGGGCCGGCTAGGACGGACGCGAACGGCTCAGGGGGCCGGCTAGGACGGGCGCGAACGGCTCAGGGGGCCGGCTAGGATGGGCGCGAACGGCTCAGGGGGACGGCTAGGACGGGCGCGACGGCTCAGGGGGTCGGCTAGGACGGGCGCGAACGGCTCAGGGGGACGGCTAGGAACAGGCGCGACGGCTCAGGGGGCCGGCTAGGACGGGCGCGAACAGCTCAGGGGGCCGGCTAGGACGGACGCGAACGGCTCAGGGGGCCGGCGAGGACGGGCGCGACGGCTCAGGGGGCCGGCTAGGACGGGTGCGAACGGCTTAGGGGGCCGGCTAGGACGGGCGCAAACGGCTTAGGGGGATGGCTAGGACGGGCGCGACGGTCTAGGGGCGGCGCGATGAGGGCCTAGGGCGGAAGCGAGGGCGGCGGGACCTACCTACCAAGCATGATTCCATCTTAACGTAGGATTGAATGTCGAGAGAAAAACGTACAAGGGTATAAGCCTGAGTGTTGTACCCTCTAAGATACGAACCTATACAGTCTATACAAACATAACCTATATATATGTTTGACAGGGATGAGTCGGCAATGGATATGCGGGCAAGGGATGTGTGGGCAAGGGATGTGCGGGCAAGGGATTTGTGGGCAAGGGATGTGTGGGCAATGGATATGTGGGCGTGAGATGTGTGGGCAAGGGATCTGTGGGCATGCTATATGTGGGCAAGTGATATGTGGGCAAGGGATTTGTGGGCAAGGGATTTGTGGGCAAGGGATGTGTGGGCAAGGGATGTGTGGGCATGAGATGTGTGGTCAAGGGATATATGGGCAAGGGATATGTGGGCAAGGGATATGCGGGCACGGGATATGTGGGCAAGGGATACGTGGCCAAGGGATATATGGGCAAGGGATATGTGGGCGTGAGACGTGTGGGCAAGGGATATGCGGGCAAGGGATATGTGGGCGTGAGACGTGTGGGCAAGGGACGTGGGCAATGGATGTGTGGGCATGGGATGTGTGGGCAAGGGATGTGTGAGCAAGGGAGGTGTGAGCAAGGGATATGTGGGAGAGTGTTAGATTATATATGTTAGTATATAATTGTAGGCTTGGTAGGTTTACTAAACTTTACTGTAGAGGGTACAACACCCCTTCTTGTATCTCTCTCTCTTCTATTCTGATTCTCTTTTCTCTCCCCAACTCTTACCCCCTAGCCTAAAACCTTACGCCATCCATGGCTCCTTCTCCTACCTAGTCCTAGCTTAGTTTTAACATGGTATCAGAGCAGGAGGTCCTCCCTGCTGGACCGCCTCCTCACGCTTCCGCCGCGTACTCCTCACCCTCGTTCACTCGCGCGGCCATGGCGGCCGCGTTTTGTTGCAGTAGCGACGTCGTGATGCCGCTGGCCGCGTCGTGTCGCGGCCGTCTCGACGCGCTGCCGTGGTGTCGGGTCGTCGTGCTGCCGTCGCAGCGTCGACGCCGCTCTGTGACAGCGCCGTCGGGCTGCAGCCGGCCGCGCGACGCTTGTGGCGCCGCTAGACCGGCCGCCCGCATGCCAGCCTATGGCGCCCCCCCCCCCTCCTCCCCTGTGTCCTCTTCCTTTCCGCAGACGACGGCTGACTCCCGCCGGCCGTCCCACCGTCGCGGGGCCTGGCCACGTCACCGAGAGGTGCGGGCGCCGCCGCTGCCGCTGGTGACACTGCCGCCGCTGCCGCCGTCGCCATTGCAGCCCCTGCGGTCGACATCGCCGCCTCACTCGCCGAGGGGTCGATCGAGCTAGTGTCGCTGTCACTGTGGCTGGAATGAGGGTGCTAGGTTAGGGGGTGTGGGTGTGTGTGGGCTTGAGTCTACCAAGCCTAGGGGGTGTGTTAAATTATATATGGTAGTATATAATTGTAGGCTTGGTAGGTTTACTGAACTTCACTGTAGAGGGTACAACACCCCTTCTTGTATCCCTCTCTCTTCTATTCTGATTCTCTTTTCTCTCCCCAACTCTTACACCCTAGCCTAAAACCTCACGCCATCCATGGCTCCTTCTCCTACCTAGTCCTAGCTTAGTTTTAACAGAAAGGAATATATTTTGCTGCACGCAGCAGTTCCAACACGAACGATCCGAGTCAAATATTCGCAGTGTGTACATTGTCCAACATTGTTATGTACTGTAAGTAAATAAGGAGGCCAAGCTACTCAAGCCAAGGCCACATGATTAGCCTAGTGTAGTTTGCCTAATAGGGTAACCCTAAAGTCATAAAGAGCAACCCACGAGAGCAACTCACGGGAGCCAAAAACACAACACGTGGACCCCACAACACCAGTGGCAGGTTGCAGACGACGGAGGGGATATGGGGGGAGACAGAGGTGGGGGGTGTGCATGACTAAGGGAGGTGTCACACGTTGTGTCAGCGGCATGCTGCAAACCACACTTTATGGCACAGCTGGGGCATTCCAGGATCCCCAACAAGCACCTACTCGTTCCCTTCGTCCTCCTCTTCCTCCTCCTCCTCGTCCTCCTCGTCCTCATCCTCACTCTCCTGCTGCCCCGCATTCCCCTTGCCCACTGTCTTCTTCCTCACAAACTGCCCCTTCACGCGCGGCCTCATCTCCGCCAGTCTCTTGCGGCTCACATACCGGATCTTCTTCTCAAAGCACCGGTCTTTCCTCTTCTGCCTGAACTTGTTCAGCGCCGCCTCCCGCCTCTCATTCCCCTCCATCCGCCTCTCCATCACCCCCCCCGCTGCACTCGTCCCTCCACCCCCCACCATCACCCCTCCTCCCCCGCCTCCCATTCCTCCCATCCCTCCCATTCCTCCCGCCCCACCCCCAGCGGTAGCAGAGGCAGCAGCAGAGGCAGGGTTGAAAAGCATGCCGGCAGCAGAGGGGTCGGGCCAGGATGCCAAGGGGAAGGCAGGGTTGAACGCACCCATGCCACTCCCCCCTGCTGCTGCTGCTGCTGCTGCGGCAGCTGCCGCGGCGGCTGCTCCCGGTGCTAGGAACTGTGCTGCCCCTGACATGCCTGGGAAAGGCAAGGATGGGGCAACGGCAGGAGCAGCAGCAGAAGCAGCGAGAGACGAGAGGAAGGAAAAGGGGTTGGCAGAGGGGGGAGGAGGGAGTGTGGCATGGGCGTGGCTGGATGACCCAGCAGCAGCAGCTGCTGCTGCGGCTGCAAGTGCCTCAGGAGGGAGGCGAGAAAAGGCCGCTGCTGCTGCTGCTGCTGCTTCCGGGGGTAGATGGGCGAATGTAGCCGCTGCAGCTGCAAGAGCGTGTGAGTGGTGAGAAGGGGGGTATTGCTGCTGCTGCTGCTGCTGGTTCATCTGCTGCTGATGCAGCTGCTGTTGCTGCTGCTGCTGTTGCTGCTGTTGCATTTGGTGCATGGCGTTACCAGCTGCTGCGGCCGCGAGAGACTGAACGATGGGATGTTGGGGTGGGAGGCCCGACGCAGCGGCAGCGGCGGCGGCAGCAGCAGCGGCGACTGCAACGTTTGAGTGGAGGGGGAGAGACGGAACGGCAGGTGGCGAGTGGAAATCAGGCTGCATCTGCTGCTGATGCAGAAACTGTTGCTGTTGCTGCTGCTGCTGTTGTTGCTGCTGCTGGTGGTGCTGCTGCTGCTGATGCTGGGCGGCAAAGTAACGGTCTGCAGGGGTCTGGGGTTGAGTGACGTGTTGGGCGGCAAAGAGGTCTGACGAGTGGGTGTGAGGATGGTGAGCCGCGGAGTAGGGAGAGCGATCGCGCAGCGCCGCCGGAGGGAGGGTGGTGGGAGGCAGGGGAGCCGGAACTCCCTGGCGCTGTGCCCTGACGGGATCCACAGCACTGGCGGCACCAGCCGCACTGCTGGTAGCAGCTGCAGCAGCGGCAGCGGCAGCAGTTGAGGCATACGGGGCAGCCGTGGCAGAGGGAACCGAAGCAAGAGAGGGCGCAGGGGAGGGCGACTTAGCACCTTGCCCAGAGCCCTGCTCCAAGCGCACTCCTGACACCTGCCTCTTATACCCGGCCAAGCTCCCCGCACCGCCACGCAGGCTCGGCGATCCACCACGCAGGCTCGGTGCCGAAGCAGGTAGGCTAGGTGCGGAAGCAGGGGGGGTGGGCGGGGAGTGTGGGAGGTAGCCGCGGAGCCCGCTGCGGTCGATCATGTGGTTCCAGAAGGCCGCGCTGTGCCCCGCCACCAGGGTGCCGCTGCTGCCGCCACTCACGTTCGCCTCTGCCCCACTGCCGTCCCGTGCCATGCCTTGAAGCATGCCCTGGGCCATGCCCCTCGTTTCTTCCCGAGTCTTCATTCTTTCACTGCCCTCCACTCCCTCCACTCTATCCCCCCTGGTTCTGCCCTCTCCTCCCGCTGAGCAGTCCCTCCCTCGTACACTTGTTGCCGCATCCCTTGGATGCTGCAGCCCCCGTGGGCTGCCACTCGCCCTGGGTGCTGGGAGAGGGGCCATTGGCGCCGGTGTCTTGCTGCTGGACGGCGACGGGGTGCTGCCCACTCCCTGCCTGCCAACCGCAGGACTCCTCCTCCTCGCTTGCTCACTGCCCTGCTGCTGCTGCTGCTGCCTCCTCGCCTCACTCCCCGCCCTCTCCCGCCCTGCCACCGCCTCGCCAGCTGGCCGTTTCAGGGCGGCATTTGCCCTCGGGACGAGCGGTGCTGGCGATGCCCTTCGGACAGGCGACCCCCTCAGGGGCGGCGAGCCCACAGCAGGAGCAGCGGAAGCACCGGATGCCAGGGCGGTGAATGCAGGCGCAGGTGCAACGGTAGTGGAAACAGGCGCGAAAGCGGGGGACGAGGGGACGGGCGGGCTTTGGGATTGGCGGCGTGCGGGAGGGCGGAGGAGCGAAGCGGACGGCATGACTGGCTGGCTGATGGTGCGCGTGGGGAGGGCGGGCACGGAGGCGAGTGCGGGCGCGGACGGCGCAGAGGGGAGGAAGGGCGCGAGGCGGGAAGGCAGAGGGGGACTTGCCAGTGCAGGACGAGTGGTGGGAGGAGCAGAGCCCAGCAGATGGGACGGATGGCCGGGAGGAGAGGATTGGAAGGGAGACACGTTAGGCGAGGAGTACGGGAGGGAGGCGGGGAAGAGAGGAGCGGAGGAGGGCTCGTGGGAAACTGCTCGGCGCAGCAGCATGTGATAGGGTGCGGCGAGGGCCGCAGGGTGAGTGCTGAATGGGTTGGACGGCGATAAAGAGAGGCCGGTTGCTGCAGTTGAGGCATCACCAGCAGCACTATCAGCAGCAGCGGAAGCAGCACCAGCAGCACTAGCAGCACCAGCAGCACTAGCAGCACCAGCAGCACTAGCAGCACCAGCAGCGGCATGTGGTACGGGCGGTGTTGCCGATGCCACAGTTGCCATGGCAGAGGTGCAGAGCGCGAAGAGAGTGGCGGGAGCAGGGGGCATGACAGCACTGAGAAGGGGGCTGGACGCCTTGAGCGTAAACGCCGCTGGGGGCGGAAGAGCAGACGCTGGGGCCACGAGAGGGGGTCGGTCAGGGGGTAGACGGCGAGCAGACGGGAAAGGCGGGTCCAATGGGAGGCCGACACGTGGCAGCATGAGCGAGAGCTCGAGCGCAGGCATTGGCTGCTGGGGAGGGTGGCGGAAACGAGAGAAGAGGAGAAAAGGGGGGATGCGAAACGAGGGGTGAACGAGAGATAGCGGAGTGAGGGGAAAGGTAGAGGGAGAGAGCAGGGTCGGTGGGGTGGTGCGGAAGGAAAAGGGGAAGCGGGGAGAAGGAAATAGAAGAGTACGCACGCCAATAGCAGCGCAACAGGTGCGTACCTGTTGGTGGCGCGGAAGCTCCTCTCCGTCCTCGGCGCACGGAATCCTCCTCCTCTTGTGCGCTCCTCCCGCCTCCACTGCTCCGCCTTCCATCCTCTTCTGCCGCCTCTTCAACGGCTGTTCGTCGTCCTCCCTTTCCTCCGCCTCCTCCCCGTCTTGCCCTCCTGCCCCGCCCGCCTCTCGCTTCTCCAGCAGAATCAGCTCCCGTCGCTGCTGCCGGCCCTCCTCTGCCTCCTCTTGCTCTCGCTCCTCCCGCTGTAACATCTCCTCCTCCCCCTCCCCCTGCCTCTCCCCCTCCACTCCCTGTGCACCCCTGTTCCGCCACGTGTCGTCCCTTTCTGCCCCTTTCTCCTTCCTCTGCCGCTCCTGCCTCCTCTCCTCTTCAACCGCCTCCTGCCGCTGCCCCTGCTGCTCCTGAAGCAGCAGCAGCTGCCGCTTCTGCACCTTCTCCTGCTGCTGCTGCTGCTGCTGCTGCTGGTTCTGCTGCTCCAGCTCGTGCAGCTGCTGCTGCTGCTCCTGCTGCTCCGCCAGCTGCTGCTGCAGGTGCTGCTGCTGCACGCTGCTGCGCCGCTTATCATCCGTCTCCTCGGAGAACAGGTCCGTGCTGCCGGTGCCCGTGTTGGACTCGCTCGTGTCCACGAACACGAAGTCGTGCGATAAGTCGCTCGCGCTCAGCGGGACCATTGGCCGTGCAGGCTCGCCCAGGCCCACCTGCAGGTGAGAGAGGGAGAGTAGAGCGAAGAGGAAAGTTAGTGCTGCCGGTGCCCGTGTTGGACTTGGCATCCACAAGCACGAAGTCGTGCGACAGCTCGCTCGCGCTCAGAGGGACCAGAGGACGTGCAGGCTCGGCCAAGCCGACCTGCAGATAAGACGAGAGTAGGAAGGGCGGAAAGGGGAATACGCGCTGAGAGGGACTCGCTCGTACCCACGAACTCTAAGTCGTGCGATAGGTCGCTCGCTCGAGCTCATCGGCACCAGATGCCGCCGCTGCCGACCAGCAAGCAGGAAAGGAGGAGGAAAGCGCACAGCGTACCGGTGGGAGACGCATGCACGCGACGCACTATCAGTGAGCGTCGAACGGGGGACGAACGAGCGCGAACCCATCGAAAAAGGGAACGTCGCGGTGAGCGAATCACAGACAGAGATATCAGCGGAAACAAAAACGGTGGAGAGCGTGGAGAGGGCGGAGAGTGCGGAGAGGGCGGGGAGGGCGGGGAGGGCAGAGAGCGCTCACGGATCGTCGGCGGCGCCACATGTGCGTCCAGAGGTTGAGGAGCTCGTTGGTGCGCAGCGGCTTGACGAGGAAGTCCGCCGCGCCCAGGCGCAGACACTTTACCACGATCGCCATCTCGTCGCGCGTCGACATCACTGATAGCAGGAGCACACGGGACGGAGCGCGGAGGAGATAGGAAACGAGAGAGAGACACGAGATGGAGACGAGGCGCGTGTGAGGACGATATTCGGTGACGTGCACGAAGCGACCCAGATAAATGTTCAAAACAATGCTTCAGAACAAGTCCGCCCAAATCTGTAAGAAGTGACGGCAAGTCGCGGTGAGAACCGGCAGAGACGCTCAGGTAGAACGACGAACGCCGGCAAGGACATGACGCAGTGAGAGAGGGCACAGAACTCCCGAGCGTCCCCTCAAAAAGCTGAGAGAAGTACCGAGTCGTGAAACTACCCTGGATATTTCCGAGAGGCCTGGAGAAGCACGTACTGACGATGGGGATCTTCTTGAGGCGTTCCTCGCGCATGATGATTTTGAGCATCTTGTACCCCTTGCCGTTGGGCAGCTCCACCTCCGCCAGAATCAAATCTATCGTGTCGCTCGACGACCGCAGCAGCTGCAGCGCCAGTCGTGCGTTCTCGACGGCCGTCACTGGATGGGGTTCAGGCACGCGAGGTAGGAAGGTGAGACGTTGATGATACAAGGAGACACATGAGTATTCTAATGCATCTCATGTCCTTCTTCGGGAAAAAAACGATTCAAGTGGAAACAAAATCCATGAAGTAATAATCTCACGCGAAACAATCCAAGCAAGGAAAAAATCACTGGAAGGCATCTATCCGAGATCTTTGTCGCGAGGCGGAAGCGGCTTCAAGTAGAAATATAGACGCTCTCTCGCACCTTGGTACGAACAGCGGCGAAGCAGCTCGAGAACATTCTGGCGCGACTCCGTGTCCTTATCGGACAGCAGGATGTGCACGTTGCTCCGCTGAAACGCCGCCACGTCGCACGGCCGGCGCTGCTCCTGGCCGGCGGATGGCACAATGGCTCCTGACATGAATCCGGATTGCTCTAATAAATAAGATTGCGAATTAAGACGGACAGTCTGCAGCAAAGCGGTGCTGTGGTACTCTACACCGCCATAATCAATCACGCCTGGTGCAAGCTAAGCAGGCAAGGCAGAGAACTAGCAATAAGCAAGAACGCAGTCCAGAACTGTGAATGGAACACTAGCATCTGAGATCAGTGAATAAGCCTGAAAAAGGGAAGAGAGGAGCAGATGGGAGGAAAGGAGGTGGAAGAGGAATGCCGAGAGACGGGCAGCGAAGGAAATGCAAGATCGAATACAGAACGGAGAGTGGTTCACAGCCAGGCAAGAGTTTCGGTGTGTGTGAGTCTGACAGCAACGCGACAGAAAACTCCTTGGGAACTGGTGACTGCCCCACCTCGAAAAAATATCTGAACCCCACGGATTTATATCTCATGGACGTTGGAAAAAGTGGGAGCTTTTTTTTCCTGGGAGGATGTGGTTTGCTGACACGTGGAGGAGAGCTGTGGACGTGGTGCGGACAACTGGGCTTAGCCAGTTTCTCCCTGCATCGCGCGTGTTACGTGGAGTGCAGGCAAATATCCTTCGCCTCACCCTCAACCTCCATTGAACAGAGAACATTAATGGTCAGCCTAACAACCAACCTTGTTTGAACAAGACCCACATTCCCCACTTCGGTTTCTTAGGAAGGAAAATAACGGTGAATGGGAGTGCTGATTAAAAAATAATTATTTGTTTAGCAAAAAATGGCAGTTGAAACAAAACTTGAGGCACGCGGAAAGGCACATGATCACAAATCCTAGATATGAGCTGGCAGAACCAGTCAGAACAACTGCTGCATTACACGTGGATGGGCAGTCAGGCCGGAAAGAAGTTTGACAAATATCTTAACCGCCTTGTGCACCCCCAGCCCCAAACCCCAGCAAAAATATCTTTATCCTTCTCGAAGGCAGGTCGGCGGATTGCTTCTCTGCCGCAACCTCGAGATTCCCTCTGCATCCCGATCAGCTTCACGTGTCCCGAGGAGTTTTCCCCGTCATCACGAACCACCAGTGCGTAGGCATAAATTTTGCTCAATTTTGGCCCCAGATCAGAGTCTGTTTCGTGGGAGAGCTGACCAGTGAATGCCGTTGTGTTTGTGCCACTACAGAGTGGTGCCACTAGCGGGATCGATTGAGGAGGAGAATGCACACAGAAAATATCTGCACTTTTTTCAGAAAAGTTCGGGAGCTTTTGTTCTGTCGGAAATATCTGAAGCGATAACGGGCAGTCTGTTATGGTTTTGTGTATGTGGCATCGTATTGAATGGCGGAGATGCTTCGATTGCGGTCGAAGAAAGTTTTCTTGTTCCAAGCAGCTTGGGCACGCGGGAAACGTCTGTCAGATGCTGACTTGACGGATTGCTGGTTGAGGAGTGGACAGAGCTAGGGTTTCATCCATCCTCCCCTTCAAAACATTCCGGCTGGCCACGCCACGCCACCCATCCACCTCTCTTCTAGATGCTTCTTTATCGGCGATCCCTGGGAAACACAACACCTGCCCTCGGATGACTGTTATCAGCATTCTAACTACTCCAGGTGCACCTAGTTTCAGTTCTTGCGTACAGCTCTTCAGGTCTCCTTCCTTATATCTCCATGCAGCTTTCTGGCAACTCATGATCGCATCCGTTGTTATTATCGGCGATAATCCCTTAGGTGTTTGCCCTACCTTGACCAAATAGTTGTTTACCGGTTCCTTTGTAGATATTGTACTTAGGCTCCATGGTTGGCCACCGTCTACAGAAATACAAGCCTAAGTTGTTTTGGTCCGAGATTTTACGCCATTTTGATCCAGGTCGACTCGATTCATCGTAGCGTAGAGCAGCGCACGTTAGATACCGGTGATTCCGCGGCAGCTTGAACTGTCGCTCTCTTCGCTTGTATCCGATATTCAGCAGCCGAACGACAGTTCCGCGTACGCATCAGGGTCCGTGTAGTGGTAAGAAACTGTTAGCCATTTGCCGAACGGATTGTTCAGGATACATTCAAAACGTGTAGTTGTCATCGGTTCGCGTTTATGGAGTGGTCGAGCGATTCAGATGACGAGTCAGGAATGAGCGGGTTTGGACCTATCGGACCGGGAGGGGTCGGCAGCAGCATTAGCAAGGACGGCGTGGCGCCGGCAGGGGACGGGAGCAGCGAGTCAGACGGAGCGAGGTTGCTGCCGTCATTCCTGCGAGGAGTTAGCGACGAGAGTAGACGGGCGATTGAGGCACTTATGGCGGCTAAGCCGTGCGGTCTGATAGTCTCTGACGCGTTGGAACCCGAACATCCTATCATCTATGTGAACAGCGTGTTCGAGCGCTTGACTGGCTATACCGCAGAGGACATTCTTGGACGAAATTGGTAGGCTCATGCTGCCGACTTAGTGTTTGAATAGCCACCTTGGTACTTTAGCCGTCTCGTTCGTCGCCTTCAATTTTATCCCGTCTATTTCAACATCTGTTTTTTATTCTTCCCCGTTCCGCTCGTTCATCCCGTTCTTACCACGAATCCGCATCTCCCCTAAACCCCCTTTTGTTTGTTTCGCAGTCGGTTCCTTCAGTATCGCGGGGCATTCGCGCAGCGGCCGCACGCCCTCGTGAATCCCGCCACCGTTGCGCGTCTGCGCCAGTGTGTCGCGGAGGGCCGCGAGTTCTGCGGGGAGATCCTCAACTTCCGCAAGGACGGCAGCGCCATCATGAACACGCTCTGCCTCGCCCCTATTCGCGGAGGCGACACCAATGCGGTAACCCATTTCGTCGGGGTGCAGTCCTTCGCAGAAACCAACGTCGAGCTCGGCCCCTTGCCGGGTCCGCCGCACAAGGAGCTCCAGCATCTGCCCATGTCGGGGGCGGCAGCCTCAGCCGCCGCCGCCGCCGCAGCTGCCGTGGTTGCTGCGCGCTGGCCGCCGTCCAGGCAGCCCGGTCTCCTCTCCGACCGTTCACCAGTCAGCCCAATCGTCGGCCCTTGCAGCCGTGCGGATCCCAGTGAGCCCTCACCCGTCCCGGGGCCCAGCACCAGCGGCACTGCCCCGGGCAGCAGCAGCAGCAGCGCGTGGCCCGCTTGCTGCCTCAGCGACCACCCCCCGTTTCCAGGGTTCGGGCGGAAATGCCCGCGGGAGGGGGGGGGCAGCCGGGGATGCATGGGGCCCGGGCGCAACTACCCCAGCAGTTACCCCAGCAGCAGCGGTGGTGGCAGCGGCAGCGGGTTGTTGCAGCTGAGCGACGAGGTGCTGGTGCAGAGAGTGATGTGCCACCTGGGGCCCAGGGACATCGCATCCCTCGCCATGGCCTGCCGGCGGTTCAAGAAGCTAGCCGTCAGTCAGGACGTGTGGCAGCGCGCGTGCCAGCACCTGTGGGGCGCGGAGGCGACAGCCGCCGTGCAGGCGCAGGCGACGGTGGGGTGGAAGTCGGAAGAGGAGGAGGCGGCGGAGGAGGTAATTCGCAGGGGGAGGTACGCCTGGCACGGGAAGAGCAAGGTGGTATTTGAAGGAGCGGTTGGAAAGGAAGGGGGGTTGGAGGGCGAGAGAGGAAAGAAGGCGTGTGCGGGTAGCGGGCAGCAGCAGAGGCAGCTGATCGAGAACCATCAGAAGTCGCAGTGGCTGCAGCGAGTCAAATGGGGGCAGATTGCGCGCGAATTAACCACCCTGGAAGCAGCCACGTGGCGCAAGGTGACTGTAAAGGGGTCCGTGGAGCCCTCGCGGTGCAACTTCAGCGCGTGCGCCGTGGGCAGCAAGGTGGTGCTGTTCGGCGGGGAGGGCGCTAACATGCAGCCACTCAACGACACCTTTGTCTTGGACCTAGCGTCGGACATCCCCGAGTGGAGGCATGTGCCCGTCGCAGGTTCCGCGCCCCCCGGGCGGTGGGGGCATACGCTGTCGTGCGTGAACGGGTCGGGGCTGGTGGTGTTCGGCGGGTGCGGCAGGGAGGGGCTGCTGAACGACGCGTTTTTGTTAGACCTGGACGACAAGCAGCCCAAGTGGCGCGAGGTGCTCGTGGGGGAGCAGGCGGGCAGTAGCAGCGCCGGGGGTGGCGCTAGGGCGGGGGAAGGCGGGGATGGCGGGGATGGCGGCGCTGGTAGGGTGAGCACTGGGGACGGTAGCGACGTGGGCGAAGGGCTGCTTTTGAGAAGTGGTGGGGACGGTCGAACAGCCGCTGAATCAGCAGGGGATGGCGAGATAGTATTCAGACAAGGGCAGGGAGAGGGGGCGACCCAGCAGCAATCGGACACCAGACAAGACTACCAACAGCAGGACAGCAGACAGCAGCATCAGCAACAGCAACAGCAACAGCGGCAGCCGCACCAACACCAGCAGCAGCACCTGCAGCCTCTCTCACAACCACCACCACCGCCCACGCCGCCTCAGCGGCCGCACCCGCGGTCGTGGCACAGCTCATGCACGGTGGAGGGCTCGAAGCTCGTCGTGTCGGGCGGGTGCACGGCGTCTGGCCGCCTGCTCTCCGACACCTTCCTGCTCGACCTCGCGCACAACCCGCCCTCCTGGAAGGAGATCCGCGTCGCCTGGGCGCCCCCCGCGCGCCTGGGCCACACGCTCTCCGCGCTGGGCGGGCGCAAGGTGCTCATGTTCGGCGGGCTGGCTACCAGCGGCGCGCTGCGCCTGCGCTCCAACGACGCCTTTATTATCGACCTCGCGGACGAGCATCCTAACTGGCGGACGGTTTCCCCCGACGCGCCTCTCCCGGGCGCGGGGGGCGGGGCGAACGGGAGCGGCGCAGGGGGCGGAGGGGGAACGGGCGGAACGCCAGGGGGAGCGTCGCCCCCGCCTAGGCTGGACCACGTGGCGTTTGCGCTGCCAGGGGGGCGGGTGCTGGTGTTCGGGGGGTCAATCGCGGGGGTGAGCCCCACGCCGTCACAGGTATACCTGCTGGACCCGGGCGAGGAGAAGCCGAGGTGGAGGGAGCTGGCGTTTCCGGGGCAGCAGCCGCGGATAGCGTGGGGGCACAGCACGTGCGTGGTGGGCGGGACGAGGGCCGTGGTGCTGGGCGGGCAGACGGGCAAGGAGTGGGTCCTGAATGAGCTACACGAGCTCTCGCTACTCAGCCCGGCCGCCATGGCGCCTCCCGCTAGATGCCGTGGGGTGGAGGACGGAGGGGAGAACGGGGGGGCTGCAGGGCACGAGGGGAACGCGGAGGCTGGTGGCGTTGGGGAGATGCAGAAGAGGGAGGGGAGCAGCAGGGAGGGGGGGGGGTGGAGGGGGCGCGTGTGGAGGAAGGGGCGAGTGAGGAAGGTGTGGTGGTGGCGCAGGGGCATGTGGCGTCGGCGTCCAACCCAGGATAGCTGCTGCCTGCCCACCAAGCTCGTCCGGCCTGGCGCACGTGGCAGCAGCAGCAGCTGATGGTAACGAGCGGCTCTTTTAACAAGTTCAGCAGCAGCAGCAGCAGCAGCAGCAGCAGCAGCAGCAGGCAGCGGAGGAGATTAGAGGGTTTCAGTGGGAAGCTGGGAATGTAAGGGGCATAGTGCAGTAGGTGTGGTTGGGGCAGTAGTGGGCACAGGCGCATCAAGACCCGCTTGGTGCCATAGCTGATGGGCTGCAGTGTTGTCGCTGCACTACACAAGACCAAGACAGACAGACAGGTTGAGAGGGATGGGACGCTGTTTTTTGGAGATGTCTCTTGTGGCTTCTCAACTTGGTACTCTAGTGGGACCCATTTACTGTAGGTGCTTTTTTTCTCATGGAACCCATTCAGGCGCTGGCAGCTTCAGTTTTATAGACGCAGCTGCTCAGCTCTCTAATCCTCTGTCACACAGTCAGGCACACAGCTTATCTTACAATGTGCTGCTGTCCTGTTACGGTGAATGGACTGCTTTGCTCAGGTGAATATTGTTAGGAAAAACACAGCATTACAGAAAACCTAATTGCCAGTAGTACTACAACAGCATGTGAAGGGCTTCACTCAAAACATGATCCTATTCCTACCAGTGACCAGACCAGCGTTCAGGTGGTAACCACCGAAGCCTGCACCACAACAGGGTTCTTCTCCAGTTCATCCGCCATGGATCTAAAGAACCCCCTCATGAACACATTGAACTCCGCCCTCTCGATGGACCCCGACCGGTCCAGGTCGGCCTTGAGGAAGAAGCGCTCGTACAGCTGCTCTGCATGCCGCGCGTTGTGCGGCGGCAGCCCCCACGACATGCCCGACCGCGCCAGCCCCGCGCTGATGTCAGCGCGCGTAAGGCAGCGCTTCTTGGCCATGTCCCACGAGGTGAAGGTGTCCTCACACACCCGCTGGAACAGCCGCCGGTTCCCCAGGATCTGCAAGGGCAGGATGGGGTGTTGTGGGGTTGAGAGGCACGGCATGGGTAGCGCAAGGGACGTTGGTGCTGTGAAGTTTCAGCAGATGGGGAAGAGTGGGGAGGGAAACGCCAGCCCCATCAGCATGCTGTTCTGGCTTCGCCCCTTCCTCTCCCACCAGCCCCTTGCTGAGAGACGCTAGCGCCTGTCTGCGCTCGCACTTCACCCCCGCCTCTCCTCCCCCCCCCCCGCACCTGTCTGAGCTTGCTGCCGTCTAGCACCTGCCCCTCCTGTGCCACGTAGACCGGCTTTGCTGCCAGCCTGGCTGCCAGGTCAGACACCGTGTCCTGCAGGGCGGGATGGGTGAGGAGGGGGCATGGGCGAGGGGGATGGAGGAGGGGGTCATGGGCGAGGGGGATGGAGGAGGGGGCATGGGCGAGGGGATGGAGGAGGGGGGCATGGGCGAGGGGGATGGAGGAGGGGGTCATGGGCGAGGGGGATGGAGGAGGGGGGCATGGGCGAGGGGGATGGAGGAGGGGGTCATGGGCGAGGGGGATGGAGGAGGGGGTCATGGGCGAGGGGGATGGAGGAGGGGGTCATGGGCGAGGGGGATGGAGGAGGGGGTCATGGGCGAGGGGGATGGAGGAGGGGGCATGGGCGAGGGGGATGGAGGAGGGGGCATGGGCGAGGGGGATGGAGGAGGGGGTCATGGGCGAGGGGGATGGAGGAGGGGGCATGGGCGAGGGGGATGGAGGAGGGGGTCATGGGCGAGGGGGATGGAGGAGGGGGTCATGGGCGAGGGGGATGGAGGAGGGGGCATGGGCGAGGGGGATGGAGGAGGGGGTCATGGGCGAGGGGGATGGAGGAGGGGGTCATGGGCGAGGGGGATGGAGGAGGGGGGCATGGGCGAGGGGGATGGAGGAGGGGGCATGGGCGAGGGGGATGGAGGAGGGGGTCATGGGCGAGGGGGATGGAGGAGGGGGGCATGGGCGAGGGGGATGGAGGAGGGGGTCATGGGCGAGGGGGATGGAGGAGGGGGTCATGGGCGAGGGGGATGGAGGAGGGGGGCATGGGCGAGGGGGATGGAGGAGGGGTCATGGGCGAGGGGGATGGAGGAGGGGGTCATGGGCGAGGGGGATGGAGGAGGGGGTCATGGGCGAGGGGGATGGAGGAGGGGGTCATGGGCGAGCGGGATGGAGGAGGGGGTCATGGGCGAGCGGGATGGAGAAGGGGAAAAAGGAAGTGGGCGAGTGAGAGAGAGAGATGGCGGAGGGGCTGAGGGAAGGAGGGGGTGAGAAACGGCAAGATGGGGTGCTGAAGAGGTGGATTCTCCTCCCCACAAGCCTCCTCCAACCAACTATTCCCCACACGAGTCGAGTCCCTCCGTCCAACGCCTACCCCCTCTATTCCCACCGTCCAACGCCTACCCCCTCTATTCCCTCCGTCCAACGCCTACCCCCTCTATTCCCTCCGTCCAACGCCTACCCCCTCTATTCCCTCCGTCCCACGACTGCCACAACTGCCATCACTCCCACCCACCCGCACGAAGGCGCTGAACTGGTCCCTGTTGAGGTCCAGGCGCCCATGGCCGTGCGTCATCATCAGCTGCGCCACCAGCGACTCCACCGACGTGCTGCCTGCGAGCACGCAGAGAGGGAGGGGGGGAGGAGGGAGGTCGGGAGCAGAGAGAAGGAGAGAGAGCGTTAAGAGGGGGATGAAGGTGCGGGTCCCCACGCTCCGTGCACATCATCAGCTGCGCCACCACCACCAGCGGCTCCCCCGACGTTCCGCCTGCGCGCATGCTCGCACACAGGAACGGGCGGGCATGGGAGGGAAGCATGCAGGGAGGCGGGCAATGCAGGGGCTGGCCCAGGGCCAGGCGGCGACGGCCAGGGGCAGACACGGCTGCGGGCATGTGGCAGGCAGGCGGGACAAGGGATGCAAGCACGGCCCTTTGGAAACAACAAGCGGCGTGGCACGTGGCATCGATGGGCACGTGGCATCGATGGGCACGTGGCATGGAGGGGGGATGGGCACGTGGCATAGAGGGGGGATGGGCACGTGGCATGGCGGGGGGAACGGCACGTGGCATGGAGGGGGGATGGGGGGATGGGCACACGTGGCATGGAGGGGGGATGGGCGCGTGGCATGGAGGGGGAATGGGCACGTGGCATGGAGGGGGGATGGGGGGATGGGCACACGTGGCATGGAGGGGGGATGGGCGCGTGGCATGGAGGGGGAATGGGCACGTGGCATGGAGGGGGGATGGGGGGATGGGCACACGTGGCATGGAGGGGGGATGGGCGCGTGGCATGGAGGGGGAATGGGCACGTGGCATGGAGGGGGGATGGGCGCGTCCCTGAGTGCTGCCCACTCAAGGGGAGAGAAGGGCGCGACCACGCTGTGCACCATGGCGCAGAGGGCAGGGCATGCTGTCGCACGAATTGACATAACAAATGTGTTATGGAAATTCGTGGGACAACTCGAGTAGGTCAAGGGAAAAGGGGTGGGAAGCAAAGAGGTGTACCGGGTGATGTCGATAAAAGGGGAGGTACAGTGATGGGTGCCCAGGCCGAGGTTGGCAGCAGTGGGGCGCTACGACAGTTGGCAGAGGGACATGCAGGAAGGGTACAGCTCAGCGGTGACGAGGGCGGGTAGGGGAGGGGGCATGCAGCGAGGTGAGAGGCAGCGTCGATGGCTAGCGACACGGAGCCATCACGGAGGAGAAAAACCCCGAAACGGTTTGAGGCTGGTTACATGGGAGGGAAGGGTATGCGCTCCGGAGTGAATCTTCAGGGAGGTAGCCACAAAACTGCGTGTGCGTAGTTGTGTAGCTACTTCTGTTTGTTCTCTCATCATCATAGGAAAGCGTGTATGCTCAGTGAAGTAATGGATTCATTCAGGAGCACAGCTGGAACTATGTAGAGGGGCCAGACAGGGTCGTTGCGAGCTAAGAAAGCTTCCTTAGAGCTTTTCTTACAGTCACATGCAATCAATGCAGTCACATGCAGTCAATGCAGTCAAATCCAGTCACATGCAGTCACATGCAGTCAATGCAGTCAACGCAGTCAATGCAGTCACACACATGGTAGTAGAGAGCCGGCCATGCACTCACGAGCAGAGAAGGGCATGCCGACGCTGTGCACCATGGAGCAGAGCGCGGGCCTGAGCTCGCTGGCGGAGACGGTGCCGCTGCCGTCCTTGTCAAGGCTGGAGAAGAGCACCTCCACCAAGGTCGCGAACTCGCTCTCCTCCGCCATCAGCCGCTGCATCTTCGCCCCGTCCGCCATAAACAGCAGAATGGGGTCGTCTGAGGGAGGGGAGACACGGGGGAGAGGGGGGAGAGGGAGGGGTGGAGGGGAAGAGTGAGAGAACAGCCGCTCCTCGCCCTCCTCCGCTGTCAGCCGCTGTCAGCCGCTTCATCTTGGCGCCATCTGCCAAGCACAGCAGGATGGGGTCGTCTGGGGGAAGGAGTAGAAGAGTGAGTGAGAAGAGCACCTCCACAAGCCGTTGCAAGTCAGTGGGCGAGGGAGAGGCCACGAGTGACTTTTGAGGCGCCTCAAATGTGGGCGAGGGAGAGGCCACGAGTGACTGCGCCTGAGGTCTAAAGCCTGCCACATCAGCACATGCCACCAAACCCGCCTCCTACTCCCAGCCACCCGAGCCACCCTGCCTCTCCCCATGTGCTGCATGCTCCCTCGCACGCACCGTGCAGCGTATCGCCCACGCGCTGCAGCAGCCGCATCATGCTCTCCACAAACTCCTCGCGCCCCACGCCCGCCTCGCTCCCCCCCTCCCACGCCCCCTCCCCCCCCCTGAACATCGCCTCAAACTCCGCCTCCACCCGCCGGTCCACCTCGCCCGCACGGCCCGGCGACGGCAGCCCCGCCATCTGCTCGACTTGCTCCAGCACTAAGTGCACCTCCTCTCGACTCAACCTCCCTCTCCCGCCTTCATCCATCTCTGTGAATTTCTCCTCCAGGAATTTTCGCACGCGCTGCCCGCCGTTCTCCTGCAGCAGCGCGAGGATCTTCTGCCCGTCAAAAACCTCTGTCTCGGTCAGCTTGGAAAGAACCGCAGATTCTACCACCACCGGCTTTTCCTCCAGCTGCAGTTGCATGCCCACAAACAGCGACCGCAGCACCGCACGGAACTCCTCCTTATCTACCGACCCGTCCATGTTGACATCAGCAGAGAGGAAGAGGGAGGTGTAGACCTTGTCGGCCTCGGGCGCGTCAGCAGGGGGAAGACCGTATGCGAGGCCGAGTTTTCGGAAGCCGGCGAGGGCGTCGCTGCACACCAGGAAGCCCTTTCCAGCGACGTCCCAGTCGTCAAACATGGCGTCTGCCACCGCCGTGAAGAAGTCATCGTCGCTGAGGATCTGCCAGCGGGGAGGTGGGGAGGGGGGAGGAGTGGGGAGGGGAGGAGGAAGAGGCAACAAAGGGGCAGAAGAGGGCAAGTGAGGGGAAGCAAGTGGGCGCAGGGCATTGCCAGTCAATCGCCATGCGGGAGGGGGAAGCACAGGAGAGAGCAACCACCTCGCACCTTCTTAATGTATGCGCCGTTGGGCACAGTGGCCCCTTGCAACAGGTACAGCAGCGCAGCTTCGAGCTCCTTAGAGAGGCAAACGGGCACTACCAGCGCCGCGAACGTCGCAATGGGGAAAGGTGCAAGGAACCACACCTCCCCGTCCCTGCCACTCACACCTTTTTTATATAAGCGCCATTGAGCACAGTCGCCCGTTGTGGCAGGTACAGCGGCGCCGCCTCGAGCTCCCTGGAGATGTCCACCACGAGCGCTGCGAACTCCTCGCAGCTCAGCTCGCCGTCGCCGTCCTCGCAGTAGCGCGCGATCACGCGGTCCAGCACGCGCTCCGTGTGTTCGAGCGCTGAGACGGGGGGGGGGGGGGGGGGGGGGGGAAGGAGGCGGAACGGGAAGGGGGAGGCACGGGCGTGTAAAGGCCACGAGAGCGCAGCAGCTCTGCTCGCCGTCGCCGCACCCAGCAGCACGAATCCCCTCATCCGTTCCCCCGCCCCCCCCCCCCCCGCCCCCCGTTGATCCCTCACTGTACGCGCGTCGCGCCACGAGTTCGGTACGGTCTGGTTTTCGCCCGCCCGTCACTCAGCGCCTCGGATTCGCGTTCCGCCACGCACCTTCCCCCGTGGAGTTGTCCCCCTTGTTCAGCCCGAGTCGCACGAGCGCGGGCCGCAGCTCGTGGCGGGAGATGCGGCCGCTGCCGTCCGCGTCCAGCTCCGCGAACAGCGCCGCGATCACCGCCTCCGCCTCCTCCGCGCTGCCCACGATTCTCCGCAGCGCGCCACCGTCGTACAGCAGCGCGGATAGCGGGTCCTCTGGGGGCGGCGGAAGTGGGGGAGGGCGGGTGGGGGAGCGGGAGCGGGCAGGGGAGGGGAGAGGGGAAGCGAAAGCGACTGTGCGGGCGTCGTCGGGCCGGCAGAGTGCATTCGGATGCGCGCAATGCGCCAGGTGCTAGCATCGCCGCGTAACCGCGCGGTGAATGCGGAAAGCTCCTGGAGTATACGGGTACATTAGGGCTCTTTCTTCATCATTTGGACTCTTTCCGAGAGGCTTTTTCCGTTGAACAGTTACTCTCGCGATTCGCGCTCACCTTCCAGCGCGTGGCTCGCGCCGCGAAGAATGTCCTTGCAAATCCCGACAAACGTCTCCCGCCCAATCTCCTCCGTGAGATCCGGCGACATGAACGACGCGAACAGCCCCTCCACCAGCTCGTCCGTCTCGCGCGCCGTGCCGGCCGGCGGCAGCCCTAGCAGCTCCCCGAGCCGCAGCAGCGCCGGCTTTAACTCGCCGAGCGAGAGCGCTTCGTTGCCGTCGGCGTCGAGGCGGTCGAACTCGTGCGACAGGAACGCCGAGAACGCCGCGTCGTCGTGCATCCGCCGCCGGATCGCCTTCCCGTCGAAAATTGCTATCCGCGCAGGGGGTGAGGGGGGGGGGATGGCGGAAGAGCTCCTTCCGCGCGGGGACTGCCTGACGAAGGCCGGCGCGCGGGGGGGCTGGGAGGATTGTCCTTCCGCCGAATTAGGCGCGGGTTCCGCGGCCATCATTCCTGCTGCTGGGAAACGTGGCGCGCTGGCCGCGACAGTACCTCGTGTAATGCACGGGTTGGCGGGTCTCGGTTGGGATGCGCGGGCTCACATGATGCGCGGCGTGCACATGGCTCCGCGTCGGTACTTGGGAGCTTTGCGACGTTCCTGGGCCCTTTGCGAGTCGTAACCTAACCCAAGCGTAACTTAGGGGACGGGGGTACGCGCCGCCGTTTGGAACTGCGGAAGGTTGGGGTGAGGGGGAGGGCTGGCTGCCCTAACAGGCTTTAATCTGCGGAAGTTATGACGAAAGCGTGAAATAGCGAGTTTCACGATGACGAGTGGAATGGAGTAGTATTGGACCAGCCTGCGGCTTTGGTGTACCGACCGACGCCCCCGCGAGGTGCTGCTGGGGTGCTGTAGTAGCGACGCCCCCCAGCTTTGGATTGAATTGCATGGATGGGAGGGATGCTGCCGCAGTGCTGCTGTTCAGCTCCCCGCTGGACACGACCACCATGACCCATCACATCACACGACCACTCCAACCAGCCTCCCCCTGCTGCTGCTGCTGAGCCTCCAGCGTATGGGGCTGCTCGCACAAACTCGTTCCATTCAATTCGACGCCACTCCCACCCATCCCGCAAGTGCCAGCAGCAGCCAGTGGTCCCAAGGGTGGGGCAGATGGTGGCGACGGCAGTGGGCTCAGTTGGGGCAAGTGGTGGCGGTGTCAGTACCCCTCACAGCTGGAAATGGCACATGTAAGAACTGTTCTAGGAATACACCCTAAACCTCGTTAAAATAAAGCGTGAATGTCAGAGAGGCTGCGTTTGTTTTTTAGCGGAATGTCATTGCACAGATCGTATTCTACAAGCGCAAGCTCCAAGGATGTAGGAAATTTCTCGTATGAAATACAGCAGTGCGACCCTGGCAGAAGTGTCTGTAACATTTCCGAGGTTGTAGGAGCATTGTCGCTTGTGTACTGTAGAGGGACAGGAAGCCCGACTTTTGCGCCAACCTTGTCCACGTAGGCACGTCGCCAAGTTTTCACAATGTGTTGCACAACCAAGTTTCAACATTTTATATAATTTAGGGCATTGCAAAAAGATTAACACAAATGAAACCGCACAACATGTAGGCCGTATCTAGTTTGGACAAACGCATGGCCGAGTACTTGGAACAGTTTTCGCATTTGACAATTTTCTGGGCCACAGAGAAGGCGACCCTTTGAAGAGGATATATTGCCTCGATAACCTGTATGCTACGGAGATTGAAACTTGTCAGTAGTAAATACGCCCACCTTAGAACTTACCATAGCCGCATGGCTGACACTACCAATATTGCCACTTCGTAATGCTCCCACATTGCCTTTTGTTTTAGGGGTAATTATTGTACATAGTATTTACTAACTTAACGAGTGCTTTGAGAGAAGCCCGTTTTGCAGGCACCGTAACCCTAGACACGCCAAGCGTTTCTCACATCGATGTTGTGAAGGATACGCTTAGAGTAAATCCTACTGTCCTCGAAACCTTTGAAATCCGGGATGTGAGTTCGGAAAATCCAAATACTGACAAGTAACGGCAAATTCTAATCAGAGAACCTGGAGTCGTCACATCTGACGTGTTCCAATTTGCTAGTGTATTGCACTAGGGTTAGACTAAGGTCACGTGAATCTAAACTTGGTCATTAGTTGGCGCCCTCATCCTCCTCCGATCATGTGGGCTGTCGATCTCTCTACAGACACGATTACTTCCACAAATAAAAGTAACTATATGTCGTAATTATATGTATGCGTGTATTATTGCTAGTTGGTCAGTTTCATGTTTTCTTGCATATATGGACCTTTCACTTATGGAATAATTCGTAGTGCTACTCGATAATCCATTTTGCCTGTAGTGAACCACTCTTATTCGTCGTAGTCCATATTTGCGAGTCGCGGATTTGGAGCATATAGCATACCCTCTGTACGTGATTTGATACAAACGCGACTATAGGTGTGAGTATTCTATACCTGAATCCCGACATTGGAGCACAATGTTTACAAGCCGCGTTGAATGTATTTTGATGGGAATTGATAAGCGAGGATCCGATTGGGACTGACTCGAGCAAATCATTTTGCGGACACCAGGTATAGTGGCTGTGAACTGCGTGGCAAACTCCGCAAGGGTTCGCTCGAGTCGCTTGATGCGTAGGGCAAGTTGAATGTGGAGAAGAACGTGGAGAAGAGGAGTTTCGTCAGCTTCTTGCCAAAGCTGTCTCGTTCCCACGGCGAAATGGTGGGAGCTGGACAAAATCACACACATGTGGACAAAGATATGGCTGGACGCGAAGGGCGTGAGATTCCCCCTAGCGGGTTTGAAGTACAGTTCGCCCGCAACTCACCTTGCTGAAACGCACTAAAAATCGGCGAGGGTTGCATCAAGATTATCTCAACTGCCGAAGCAAATTACTTTGCGTCAAATCTTATTTAACTGGGCGTAGTCACCCAGAAATTTCCTGGTCAATCTGGGTGACAATTTCCCCGATACACCTTCGTTAGAATCAATCATGATTTTCAGTCCAACTGCGTTTTTTTTTTTCGGAATGTGATTGTACGTGACCACCCGGGGAACCGACCGCCAGGGGTATTTCCCGAGCCCCCGAAGAGGCAAGGGTGTATTCTAGAGTGACGAGTGTTTGGTCCCACGTGTAGGGGAACCAGTGAGGAGTTGAAAATACAAAGAAAAAAATTACAGTGGAAGGATCGTAACAGCCAGAAAGGCCCGCGAACTGTAGCGAACCGTCAATGCTCGACAGAATGAAACAGAATGTTCCGAATGGAGGATTCACGCGATGAGGAGCTTCTGGAATCAGCAGCTCAGCCCGTTAAGGTCTGTGGTTTTTCCCACACTATGCCATATTTGGTCCAGGGCAATGTTAGATTCCATTTCACAATGTTATAAGAAGCTGATCTTGGCAATGACTGTGTCCGCTTTTTTATGCTTCGTTTATGCTTCGTGATTTGAGACAAACGAGTTTTCGGGTGTAGTACAGTACAACAGAGGAATTCGTCCTCATTTGACAGACCCCACCACCGTGCGTCGCATGCTGCCAAAACAAGCCACAGCACTCAAGCGTTGACATGTTCTGTGCAGTTGTACAGTTCTGTAATTGAATCTTAACTGTGCACTTGTTTGTATTGGACAGTACAGACATATTCATTCCAAGTCATATATACACCAGGGTTCCACCGGACGTCCGCAAAATGATTGGGACCACCCCCCCATCGGCGCCCATTCGCCAGCAATTACAGGCAACGTCCTTTCAGCTGATGGCCCATTCACCTGGGTTCTGTCGCACCTGCGACACGGAGGCGGCCAGCATGTTCTTGCTAGAATTTGAGAATACGCCCCCCGTTCAATCATCTACCAAACCGCACATCGTTGTGACGCACCGTAATGCACATATTTCATAACTTAAAAGGCGGTATTTTTTTAACCACCGTGTCAGAAACCAGGCACTAGGTTGAATTTTGTGCGAAACCATAAGTTTCCACTTTAATGGCCATTCTATTGTGGTGAAGATTCGCAAAATAAGTATGTGTATTACGCCCACGTAGTTTGTCTAAGCCGAAAGCGCATAGTGTGCACCCGGTGAACTGTACACGTAAATCGTAATACAGGCGCACATGTGTAGCACTTACTGATTGAATGGCCCACTAAAACATGCCTTAAGTTTTGAAGGGAACAATATGTCATATTATATTAGTGTAAGCTCTGCGAATGTTGGATTCTGCACTTAGAGCATAACCCTATGCGACCTAGGAAAAAATGTTAAAAACACTTCCCAAGTTGTTTGAGCTTCGTCGCTTCTGTACTGTAGAGGGGCGCAGAGCCTGTCTTATGCACCGACTATGTCAACGTAGGCACGTCGCATGGTTTTCGCATTGAGTTTCAAAGCTCGGTTTCATTAATACACGTTATTCGAACCATCGCATCAGCAACAAGACAATTGAGTTACCCAATTACACAAAATACCTGATTGCGGCATAAATCAATAGCAAACAACGCAGACACAACAACTACAGCTTACGTTGCCCAAACATCCGCGCTACTCCCAAGCCCGCAAGTTGCACACATAGTTGCCCATGCATAGTTGCCCACACTCATTCTTCAACGCCGAGAAACAGACAGGCACCACTCAGGCGCAAGGAGGGGGGCGCCATGGTGTGTGTATGCCCCCAAATGTCATCCACTCGCCGGCGTCTGGGTACCCATTCATTACCGCGGTGGCGCGCAGAACCTGGGCGCGGTACGCATCGTCCAAGACAGTCGGGGTAGCGCCGACGTTGAGGCAGGGAGATGCGCGCTCCAGGCGCTCACAACAAGGGGGTCGCGAAGTCGAAGAGAACACGAAGGTCCCGCGGAGCGAAAGCGAGGCTACGCGCATATTCGATGAGCATTTCCATTGCCATGCGTGCCATGCCGTGCATGTTACGCATGGACGCGTAGGGGTTGGAGGGGGGCGTTGTGTTAAACCACCATGCGTCTCGTACTGACGTCCCCGTCGGCTCTAGTTCCAGCGGGTCTTCAGCGCCCGTCTCGTCGGTCGCGACCATATGGTCTGCGTAGACGAACTGGATAGCAACCTCGACTTCGCCCGACGGGCTGAATGGCAGCTCGTCCACGGCGTCTTGCACGTTACGGAACTCTTGGTCGAGCAGGTGCACATCTTCGAACAGGGTTTTGGCAAGGAGCGTCAAGAGTGGCTTCAAACTGGGCGGCAACATGTGAGTGCGCCAGAAGCACTTCTGAATAGTGCTGGCGGCGGGACCAAACGTGGGACTGAGGGGTAGGGTCAGGAGACAGCGGAGGGGACACAACAGGAGAACGAGGAGGAAGAGGGGCCAGAGACGAGTCTGGCGGCAGGAAAACAGGACCGTAGACCGGAAGGTCAGCAGGCGGCGGGGGAGACACCGGCGAGTGGTCCGGGGAGGGAAGGCCGAGTAGGCGGAGAGCGGAGACCAGCGGTGACGGCGGCTGCGGCGGCGGCGACGGCTGGGCCGGAACGCTCGGACGAGGAGAGGCAGAACGACCATCGGCAGGACACTCAACAGCAGCACCCCCAGAACCAACACCCCCAGAGCGAGAACCCTCTCCAACACCAGCGGCACCCCCAGAAGTCGCAGGACAAACACCCGCCTCCACACCGGCACCCCCAGGGGCCACGGGCGACCGCGGCAGTGGCGGCGACTGCAGCGGGGTCGGCGACTGCGACAGTGGGGGCGGAGGCACCGGGGAAGGGGGACGCGGCAAGGACAGACCGGGGGAACCACCAGAGTCAGCAGACTCCTCAACTGGGACAACCGACGGGAGGGGAGTGACGTGAGAGACACCAGACGGGGCAGGACGCGGCGGGAGAGGAGCAGGGGCTACCGGGGGAGAGGGAGCAAGGAACAGGGGCGGGGCAACCGGGAGACCTCGGTGAGGGAAGCGGCGGTAGAAGGAGACAGACTCGTCAAAGGTGACGTCACGAGAGTGGAGGAAGCGGTGAGACGGCGGGTGGTAGAAAAGCCAGTCAGACGAGTCCAGGGGAAAACCGAGGAAGACACAGGGGACAGTGCGGGCAGTGAGCTTGTCCGCGCCAGAGGAACGAACGTGAGCAAGGCAGTCCGAGACGTGGAACGCAGACGCGTCACCGGGGGACCCTGTCCAAAGGAGGGTCGGCGAAACCTATGGCCGCTGGGAGCGTGGCCACAGGTTAAGCTGGTGAGCGGCGTAGCGAACAGCGAACGGCCACAGAAAATGGGGGGCATCGGCATGGATCATTGAGGTACGGGCGACCTCCATGACCAAGCCGATGCGGCGCTCAGCAACCCCATTCTGCTGTGGCGAGTCCGGCAAGGTGTACGACTGGGTGATGCCCTCCGCACGACAGAACTGTCCAAGCCGACCAGAAGCGAACTCGCCGCCACGGTCAGAGTGGAGACACAACACGGGGAGACCGCGGTGGAGACGTGCAGCCACAACCCACGGGAGAAGAACGTCGGGCACGTCGGCCTTCCGCTCCAGGGGAAAAACCGTGGTGTAGCGCGTGTAGTCGTCAACGAGCACAAGGAAGTAGCGCTCACCATACGGTCCGGGGACGGGGGCAGGGCCCCAAACGTCCAGGTGCGGGGTCTGAAGGGGGGCAGTAGCAGGGCGCAGCGAGGAGGAGTGAGGAGAACGGCGGAGCCGGCCCTCGACGCAAGGCGTGCACGGTGGCGCAGTCGAGGGAGGAATGGCGGGGAGCGACGCAGGGAGACCTAAGACAAGACCGTGCTGGGACATGTGACGCAGACGAGGGAGGGCAGGGTGACCTAAGCGGTGGTGCCAGAGGAGGGACGGGTGAGTGAGGGAACGACACGAGCAAGCTGCAGCAACCTGGGAGGACGTACCAACCGGAGGGGAAGCGGTGTCTAGGGTAAACAGACCGGACACTGGGTCCCGGGGGAACGTCGCGAGGGGGGAACCTGAGACAGCCTCAGAACAGACAGCGAACCGCTCGTGCCCGGGGAACGTGGTGGTGACGCCGAGGTCCTGAAGACAGCCGACACCAACCAGGTTCCTCGAGAATGAGGGAACGTGGAGGCCTGTGAGGGAGCCCGAGGGAACTGCTGGACAGGGAAGGGACGTAGAACTGCGAGCGACGACAGGACCCGCAGAGGGGTCAGCGAGAGAGACGACAGCTGGCGTAGCAAGCGGCGTGAGCGCAGAACGGTCGCGGAAGAAGCAGGCAGAAGCACCGGAGTCGAGAGTGAAGGACAGCGCCGCAGTGGCGGGGACAGGGAACGGAGACGGTGCAGAGACGAGGCTAGACAATCTAGGCAGTCCTATGCCTGACGCAGCAGGGGAGGCTAGGCTACACAGCGGTGCAACACCTAAACTAGAGAACACAGGGTAATAAGATCCAGCAACACTAGCAGCGTCAGAATACAAAGCATGCAAAGCAGCACCTATCTGATCCATGTCTAACTCAAAGATCGGCATGCCCTGGCGGAGCAGGCGGTGCCAGTCAGGGAGGTCCGGGGCCGGGCCAAAGCGATGACGAAAGAGATCGTCGAGGCGGCGGAAACAGCGGGCAGTCGGGTGCGGGCGGCGGCACAGAGTGCCGCGAAGGGGCCCGGTCTGAAGCTGGTACTGACAGGTCACAGCACTGGGGCCATTGGTAGACGCCAAGCTGCACGGGCCGCCACCACTGCCACCACCTCCTGAGGTGCCGGGCCAACCAGACGGGAGACGAGCCCACTGCTGCGGGAGCTGCGGCTTGGACTACGGCTGCTGCTGAGACGGCGGTTGCGGCGCGGGCTGCTCCTGCGGCGGCTGGGGCTGCTGCTCCTGACCACCAAGGCTAGTCCCCCCAGACGGACTACTCTCACGACCACCAACACCACTACCGGCGCCACCACCCCGACCACTCTGGCGACCACGGCCAGTGCGGCGCGAGCTCTGCTGCGGGTGGACCACAGCAGCCGTCTCAGTGAGGGGGGTGGACGTGGCGACCGCAGCCGAAACGTCAGTGAACGTACACTAGGAGGGGGCACAGCCGTGAAAGATAGAGACTGCCGGCGCACCGCTCGACTGAGCGATAATGCGCTGGCGAGTCTCGATCTCGGTGAGGGTGTCGACAAAGGCGGTGAGAGTGAGGTCAGCCAGGTGCAGGCTAAGGAAGTGATCGCGAGCACTAGCGAGGCGGTCTGGCAGGCGCATGACGATAAAATAGAGCGTCATGCAGAAAGGGGGGGGGAGCGCAGTGAGCTGGGCAGCAGTGCTAGCAGTGCGATAGCGGGTCTCTAGGGCACGCAGGTGAGTGGCAAAGTCTGCGACGGTAGGGAAAGCTGCAAGGTCTGGAAAAAGCATAGGGAAGAGCAGGCGACCAGCAGAAGACGAGGCGGGTGTGGAATAGCGGGCAATAACAGCGTCTAAATAAGCTTTGGCCGTCTCAATAGCAGCAAAATGCGAGCGCTCAGAGACAGGGAGGGCGTGGCTAATGGCAACCTGAGCGACTGCATCTCGGGAGTCCCAGACCGCACAGGCAAGCGCAACAGTAGAGAAGGTCTCACGGTCAGCAGAGGAGGGATCAGTAGGGAGGGGAGCAGGTGCGGGGGGGTGGGGGAGCAAGCCGTCAACATGGACGACCAAAGAGTGGCCATCCTGGCGCTGACCTGTAAGCTGGCGGCGGAGATCGGAGAGCCAGGCGGCGAAGTCAACCGCATGGCCCTCGGCGTCCAGTCGGAGCACGAAGTCCGCCATCGTGCAGTGTCAGCGGCACAGCTCCACAGGAACACAGCGACGCAGAACCACGACGACAGCCCCCTTCCAGCACGGCGGCCACGAAGCGCCTCAGCACGGGCGAGCCGAGGAGACGGAGCCCGAGGGGGGGCACGGCAGGTGCGGTGGGGCCAGGCAGGTGCTGGCGGGGCCAGGCAGGCGGGGCGGGGCCAGGCAGGCGCGACGGGGCCAGGCAGGGGCGACGGGTCCAGGAGGCGCGGCAGGGCCAGGCAGGCGCGACGGGCAGGCAGGGGCCGCGGGGCCAGGAGGCGCGGCGCGGCCAGGCAGCGCGGCGGAGCAAGGCAGGTGTGGCGGGACCAGGAGGCGCAGCAGGGCGAGGCAGGCGCGGTGGGGCCAGGAGGCGTGGCAGGGCCAGGCAAGCGCGACGGGGCCAGGCAGAGGCGGCGAGGCCAGGCAGGCGCGGCGGGGCCAGGCAGGCACGACGGGGCCAGGCAGGCGCGGCTAGGGCCAGGGAGGCGCGACGGGGCCAGGGAGCGCGGCAGGGCCAGGCAGGCGCGACGGGGCCAGGCAGGCACGGCTGAGGCCAGGGAGGCGCGACGGAGCCAGGGAGCGCAGCGGGGCCAGGCAGGCGCGGCAGGGCCAGGCAGGCGCGGCAGGGCCAGGCAAGCGTGACGGGGCCAGGCAGGCGCGGCTGGGGCCAGGGAGGCGCGACGGGGCCAGGGAGCGCGGCGGGGCCAGGCAGGCGCGACGGGGCCAGGCAGGCGCGGCTGGGGCCAGGGAGGCGCGACGGGGCCAGGGAGCGCGGCGGGGCCAGGCAGGCGCGATGGGGCCAGGCAGGCGCGGCAGGGCCAGGCAGGCGCGGCTGGGGCCAGGGAGGGGCGATGGGTGCTAGGAGGCACGGGGGGCCCAGGAGGGGCGCGACAGGCTAGGAGGCGCTAAAGTGGCCCAGGGGGGGGCGCGACAAGGTCTAGGAGGCGCGGCAGGGGCCCAGGAGGGGCGGCGCGACGGGGCCTAGGTGAACGCGCGACGGGGCCTTGGAGGCACGGGCGGAAGCGGTAGGTGGGAGGGGTCGAACCTACGGATGATACCATGTCAGAAACTAAAATTTAACAAGAGTTGAATAGAGAGAGACAACAAGGGTATATACCTAAGAGTGTTGTACCCTCTACGAGGTGACTCTATACAGTGTATACCAATATATGTTATACATATGTTTGATATAGAGTGCCCCCCACTTGATTAAAATCTTGACCCTGAGGCGAGAAACGCGCCCTCACGTGACGGGATTTTGATTCGACGTAACCTGGGCATCAAGAATTCGATGAGGAGTTAGCCTGAATTCTAGGTTGCGTAGGGCTGTAGAGGAGTGTCTCCAGCGGTGAGGAGGGGAAGATTCTCTCTAGCATTGAGGACTTCCAAAATTTCATATTTGCAGGGGGAGTTCTGGAGGATTGTATCTAGCATTCAGGACTTCGCCGATTTTTCAGAGAAGCGGGGGGTTTCGGAGGGTTGTCGCTTGCATTGAGGGCTTAGCCGAAATGTATTTGGGCAAAAAAAAACAAGGGTTACCCAAGTGGCGCACGTGTATGTGCAAGATTCGAGAAATCAGGGTTCTGCCTGAAGGCATGCTGACGGCTCAGGGTGTTTAAGTAGCTCTAGGCTAGGATACTAGGCAGGAACAAGGCCGCCATGAATGTGGCGGCAGGGTTTAGCTAGGAGCTGGACGAGAGTGTCGAGAGAGAAGAGAGTTGGATTAGAAAGAGAGGGGAGTACAAGGAGGGGTTTGTACCCCCTACAGAAAGGTTCAGTAACAACCTACCAAGCCTATATTAAATTATAACTTATATAATTTGAACACACCCCCCAGGCTTGGTAGCGTCAAGCCCACTCACACCCCCACACCCACACACACACACCCACACCCCCTAGCCCAGCACCCCCATTCCCAGCAGGAACCGAAACGACTCCGGAAGTGGGCAGATCCCACGGCCCGCGGGATGGCTATGGCGGCAGCAGCGACAGTGACGACAGCGGCGGCGGCGGCGGCGTGCGGCGGCGCCCGGCCCGCGGCAACAGCGGCGGCAGCGGCGGCTTGAACGTCAGAGGCTGGTGCAGCGGCCCCCGCCCTCTCGGCGGCATGTCCATTCCCCTCGGCGGTGGGGAGGACCCTCATGAGGCAGTCGTCGGCTGCAGCAAGGAGGTGGGGGATGCAGGGGAAGGAGGGGGAGGCGGGGGGGGGGGGGGGAGGGACGAATCTTCAGCGACGCGCCATAAATGGCGCGACGCTTACTGGCGGGAGGGCGGCGACGAGGCGGACGGGCGATGGCAGGACCACGAGCCCGCGGCGGCATCTCGCAACGGCCATCACAGCGGCACGAAGACAAGAAGCCGCGACGGCGGCACAAAAGCGGGAAGCCGCCACGGCGGCACAACAACAAGTGGCCGCCACGGCGGCAGGAAAATAAGGGGCCACGACGGCGGCACAGGCACGGACGATTAAAGCACGCGGCGGAAGCGTGGGGAGCAGGCCCACAAACGGTCACCTGCTCTGATATCATGTTAAAGTAGCTCTAGGCTAGGATACTAGGCAGGAACAAGGCCGCCATGAATGTGGCGGCGGGGTTTAGCTAGGAGCTGGACGAGAGTGTCGAGAGAGAAGAGAGTTGGATTAGAAAGAGAGGGGAGTACAAGGAGGGGTTTGTACCCCCTACAGAAAGGTTCAGTAACAACCTACCAAGCCTATATTAAATTATAACTTATATAATTTGAACACAGGGCTGGTACACGAACACTTTACTGAATCTGCAGGGTTGCACTATGATTCAAAACTGAATTCACAGGGTGAAAATTTGTCTCAAACGGATTTTTCAGGATTGACACCTAAGTGGCATCCTGAAAATTAGGAATTCAGGATAAAACATCCTGAAATCTGAGGCCCGACCAACCCTCGACATTCAACATAGTCAGCTCGCATTATATAAGCCCTATGCCTCATTTCTATCGTCATTCTGTAATCACTTTTCCTTTTAGTATTGTGCGCTGAGTTATAATTCATAACATAGACCACCACCCTAAGCGTGTGGTTTACTTCAATGCACAACACATGTGTCTAAAACATACACGCCAAAACCCCTCAAATTTGGAAAGGTGCCTTGCTTGTCCATGTGTACATGAATAGATTTTGCGACAAGCTGGTTGGTGCCCCCTTCCCCCTCCCCTGCCCTTCCCCTCACTCCCGGCCCGTCTATCCTTCCCCACTTCCGACTCTTCCTCTCCCCACCCCCCCTTCCACTCCCCCAGCACCCCTTCCTCCTCCAACCAACCCCTTCCGTGACACGGGCAGAAGACTTTCCCCGTGCTTCACCACATTCAACATCACTCGACAACATCCGCAAGCCCAAACCCCAAACCCTGTACCTTGCATCCTCATAGCAACGAAGGCTACTCGCGGCCCAGCTGCTCTACTACCTCATTCTATTGCCACTGGGGCACCGACAGCAGCGCCCACAGCAGCGGCAGTACTCCCCTCCTCCGCAACCCCTCTCCCCCCCCGTACCCCCCTCTCCTCTGGCTACCCTCTGAGGCCGGGGTGGCAGCAGAGCTGCCGGTGCCTTCCCCTTGCCCCGCCGCTCCCCACTCTCCTCAACCCCACACTCCCCCATCTCCACAGAACAGCCTCTATTGCTGCCGCTTTGGCTCGGCCCGAGCCTGCTCCGGTGCAAGCAGCCACACTGCCTTGGTTCGGCTGCTCTGCCGTTCCTGGCGCCTGCTCCAGCCTCGTCAGCGTCGTCATCTATATTGTCGTGCGTGGCTGACAGCGTGTATTGCGAGTCAAAGCACGACGAAAAGGGTAACCGCATGCCTGAGAGGGCGATACCCTCACGTCTCCCTGCTGCTCCGCCTGCTGCTGCCTGTTCCCCGCCACAAACACTGTTCACTGATGCCACAGTGACTGCTGCTGCTGTAGCACACCACTGTTCAAGTGCGGACAAACCCAGCCACCCATCTAAACTCAGTGACTCAACACCGTTGCCTCCATTCCCGCCCACCCCACTAGCCCTACTCCTAGTGCCTCTTCCGCCACAGCTGCTACAAAAGCTGCACATCCCTGCTGCAGCTGCTGCTACAGCCGACGCCCTGCCATGCCCGCACGCGCTACAGCCGTGATATCCTCCCTGCCACGTGGGCTCTTCCGCGTCCAATAGCCGATCGCCCCGCCACCTGCACCTGCTGCCTCCCCCCCGCCCTGGAATCCGCGCACTGCTGCTGCTGCCACCCGCATTCCCGGACCTGTCCCGCAGCTTTGGAATCCGAAGCTCGTCTCCGCCGCCCCCGACCAGCGGGACAGCCTCGGAGAGCGAGTCAGAGCTACTGCCAATCCTGTCATTGTCGTCCTCGTCACAGTCACTCTCGGTACTGCCTCTAGCGCTATCACTATCACCCCTGTGCTCCGCATCCTGAGCACCAGCCGCGTTTGAAGCAGCTCCGCTAGAAGAACCAGTATCCCTTAGAGCACCATCCCCGCCAGTACCCGCGCTACCACCCCCGTCCTCTACTTTCCCCTTCCCCCTATCCCCCATCCCGCCCTCCCCCCCTCCTCCCCCCCCCAGCCCCTCAACAACCCACGCCTTGCCTTCGGGCTGCCCGAGAAACTTCAGAAACCATCCGAACGGGCGCTCCTCCTCCCCGCGCCACAGCCTCCCCGCGCCCACCTGGCGGAACTTCTTCTCCAGCTCCGCGTGCACCACTTCGAGAATGCCCACCTTCTCGGAAACCACCATCTGCGCCTCCACGAGCTTTAAATGCAGGTTGTGCTCGCGCCAGTTGTCCGCGCGCGCCAATTGCGCGCGCTCCAGCGTGATCTCCTCCAGCAGCTGCCGCCGCGCGAGTTCCGCCGCGACCGCCAGCCGCTCCGCCAGCTCGCGCCGCTCGCGCTCGTCGGAGGTCTCGCGGCGGGAGGTGAGCAGCGCGTTGTTGAGCTTTGCGCAAGCCTGCCCCAAGCGCTCCTTTTCCATGCGCTCGCGCACGAAATCCAGCCCCGCCTGCGCCACTACCGCCTGCATTTCCGCCACTTCCGCCTTTGCGTCCGCCAGCTCCCCGCGCAGCTCCGACAGTTCCGCGGACTGCTTCGCGAGCTGCTGAAGCAACTTGGCGAACTTCTGCGAAGCCGTTAGCGAAGCCATGTTAACAACGGCGGACGACGGCGGGCGGGGGTGGGGAATCGGGTGGGAGGCGTGGGGCGGGGCGATGGAGAAGGCGGAGAAAGGGGAGGGCGCGGAGGGGGAGGTGGGCGGGGAGACGGCGGAGCGGGAGGAAGCGGCGGCGGCGGAGGAGAGCGTGGGGCTGGTGCCGCCGGAAAAGGTGGTGGCGGTGGTGCTGGTGATGGACGACGCGGAGGGGAAGGGCGCGTGGGAGAGCGCGAGCAGCGCGAGGGGGTTGAGGTTCGGGGGGGGCGACGGGGAGGGGGCTCTCGGGGGATCGGACGACGCGTCGCTCGCAGTGTCGTCCTCCTCCCCCTCGTCTCCCCCTTCGCTCTCCTCGCTCCCCTCACTCCCCTCGCACCCCTCGCTCCCCTCACTCCCCTCGCACCCCTCGCTCCCCGCGCTTTCCTCCTCTTCGTCCTCTACCGAGTTCCCTTGTAGCGAGATATCCTCTATCGCGTCCTCCTCTGCGTGTTCGTCCTCGCCTTTCTCCAGCTCTCGCCGCCCGTGCCCTCCCCCCTCGTCCCCGTCGCCTTCTTGTCTCTCCTCCTCCCCCGCATGCCTCCCGTCCCTACCCTCCTCGCCTAGTCGTGTCCCACACTCGCCGATTCTTGCTTCGCGGTACACACCTTCACCGAATCTGCCTTCTCCGCTTCTACCTTCATCGAATGTACCCTCCCAGTTAACGGCGTCAACGTTTCTACCTTCCCCGGCAGGTCTTTCGCCAGGTCTTTCGCCATTTTCGTCTTGATCGAATATTTCGCAGTCCTCGCCTTCGCCAAGTCTGCACCTGCTGCTTCCTCTCCCTAACGTGCCCGCAACGCCCTCTTCACGGCTTCTCTCGATTTTCTCGTTTCCGTCCTCCGCTTCCCCCGACCTCCCTGTAGCGACTGGAACCGACAACTCTCTGGTTTCCGCGACGTCGCAGCTGTCGCGAGCAGGATTCGCAGCCGCAGCCGCCGAAGAATTCGCCAGGAAGGTCGTCAAGGGAGTCAGAGGTGTCGCAGGGCGTGCGACGTCTCCTCGCGACGAACCTGTTCCTGCGGTAAAAATCGGCGCGGCAGCATGGAATGACGCTGGGCGGCCCACAGATGGAAAGACAGAGGCGTGCGGGAGCGAGAAAGGGTTCGCTGCTGTTGTGCTGTCACCGAAGCTGATACTTTCGAGGGTGATAACAGGGGCGACTTTGCGAGACGCGGTCACGCTGGCGAAGGGATTAAAGCGGCTGGGAGTGGGTGATGATTGCGACAGCGAGGCGGCGACGGCGGCGAAAGGGGAAGAGCTAGCGCCTGCAGCGGCTATTGGTTGCTGCTGCTGGCGCTGCTTGTCGGCGGGGCGCATGCGGCGGAGGTAGCGGCGGGCTGCTGGTAGCCGCGCGACGGGCGGAGGCGCGGAGGAGTCGGGGGGAACGGAGGTGTCCATCAGACCGGCTCGACAGGGGGCAAGGATGTTGCCTCCTGACGGAAAAATAAATATCAGAACAGACGGCGCTAAGTCCTCTCCCGTTGTTCCGCCCTTAGGGCTTGTGGGCGGAAACAATCAGTTTTGAACCGTTGGCTATGGCGCGTCATAACGAGGGAGACTAGGAGGAAAGGCGGTGATCAGAGGGAGAGGCGAGGCCTGAACGGAACGGAAGCCCATGAACTCGATCCAGTGCGCAGCAAACCCTAAATTGTGCTCTCAAATCACTCGATTCGTAGACATCAGTGGGACTGCGTGGGGTGGATGGAAAGGCTGCTCGTAGTGGAGAGGGGATGGACAGACGGACAGGCATGAGAGATGCCCGCCAGGCCCCTCGATAAATTTAGAGTAGAACTTATGGAAATCATTTCGCCCTATTCCTTAGCCTAGCGAGTTTTTTTTTTTTTTGGAATCCGTACAGGTTACACTTGTAGCAGGGCAATCTGTAGGGGGTAGCGCCCCCCAATCTCCCCTCACCATCAACGCGCCCTCCCTCCCCCCACCCCCCTCCACGCCCCACCCCCCCCCCCCCTCAACCCCCCCTCTTTCCCTGCCAGCCGAATTTGTAGCGGCCGATTCCCTTTGGCAACGGGTTTTTTCGGGGGGATCCCGTCCAAAAACGGGTTACCCAGAGGCAATTCCTTCCCCTTCCAGATTACCCTGGGGCTTAGCGAGAGGCAGTGTAGCTGCAGTACGCCCCCGGCACCTCTGCAGCACGCGGAGAGCACCGCTACTGTATACTTGTACAGCTGTCGCGGCGCGGTGCTGACTGCTCTCTGCTCACGGCAACAAGCTCGCACATTGTCGTGTCTCGAGTCGTCGCCACTCGGAGCAGACCAGGTGGCGCGGTCGAATTGCCCGACGGGAGGAGGAGACGCGACATGGATGGCAGGGCAGGGCAGTGCCAGCCTCAGCTGTCAGCCGCGCCACGTTGCGAATTCGGCCCGAGTCAATTATCACATCCCACAATAGATCCGAAATTCCCTTACGCCGATTGCCAATCGAATTGATTGCGGCAACAACACAGCCACCTCAGGCCTCTAAATTTCAGGGCAATCACTCTTTGTCTGGGAAAACAAAGTGGAACTATGGTCCAGCCCTGCTTTTGACGCATACCGAATATCGACACCCGTCCTTGAACAGACAAGCCACAACGACTTCAGGGCCTGCAAATATGATTGAACTTTTAGGGCTACCGAGTCTCTGGAGGGCGAGAGGCCTGATCCCCCTTTTTCCCCCCTTCGCTCCCACTTTCCCCACCCTGGAACTTTGTCGCGACAAGTGAGAACAAAGACGGGCTGGCAATTCTACAAAACTCCTGAGAATACTGTACAAACAAGTTCCACAAATCCTTCATTTTGTCGTCGTGTCTCACGACCGCATTCAAAAGTGCTGATTAGGTGGCAATGAATGGCGTTTACGTCGCCAATGAAGTATGCCTGCCTTGGAAAGAGAACGTCGGTAGAACGTTCATGGAAGTTCGGTACATGACAGTGAAAGCTACAGCAGCCAAAAAATCTCATCTCAAACGACCAGTCGCCGAAAAAGTTGCTGCCACTGCATACACCTTGAGCCTGACGGAGGAACACACCTTTTCAGGGTGCCGGTAGACAAAAACGCGCACGAGTTTCGCGCGGCATCGTCACGGGCATGTGGGCCTTTCGCACGGGCATGAAGGTTACCATTTTTATGTTTTGCGGGGTAGGTTTGAGCGGCATATTTTGGCGAGCCATTTTTCACTTAGTTACCCTGTGTTAAGTTTTGACGCTTTCAAGCTTGAGTGAGTTTCTCCGGTGTAGCACCAAGGTGGTGGTTGGCGGGTGCGATGTTGAGTGAGTTTCTCTGGTTTGGTTTGCTCCCTTTTATACTAAATGTGGCGAGGGCTTGGAGTCGCATTTCAGTTCCAAATGTTAGGGGCGTGTTCTAAAGATTTCTTACATTACGAATTGAAGGTTCGTGTCGCAACAATAACTGCTGCGTGGATTGTGGAAATTTGTTTTACGAGTCTGTTCCTGGGTTGGCTGTCGGATGTTGAGAACGACCCCTAGCATCGGGGCATCGCGACTCCATTTCGCTGCCAAGTCAGCATTCGGTTTCATGCGGCGATGCTCGAGCCACAAACAAACCCAGCGAGGCGTACGCACCTTTGCGAGCTCAACAAAAGGCTCGCTGAGCTCGCCGGAGAGCTATTCCGAGCGCGACTGGAAGTTTGTGGCGAAAAGGGTTGCGGCGCACATCTTTCGTCTTGTGCCGCATGTTTGTCACCGCTGTCATGATAACGCTGCACTGTTGGCTCTGTTCATGGCTCACGTTGAGTGGGCCGTTCCCCGTGTGTCAACGCTAATGGGAGGTGGTTTCTGATTGGGCCTCGTATTGCGCTGGGCCTTGGGTGTGCACCCTGTGTAGTGAGATGGCCAAAAGATTGGGAGGCCGTCTCCCCTATAGCATCTGAGCTGAGCGCTCAGTGCATTGACGAGCATGCACACCACAATAAGGCTTTATATGTCATTTGTAACAATTTATTGGTGAAGCTAACTAATCAACATGTAGACATCTGGTCAAACATGACCCCAGCACTATATGCAAGCCGCGTAAACACAAGCCAAACCCGCCACTGTACCCTTGTCTTGCAATTCACTAACAGCATTACCCCATGAACCCACTGCCTGCTGTTGGCTGCCTCATAGGCACAGCTGTCCGCCCCTTCGCCTCCGCCTCCACCTGCTGCCGCTTCTCCCTCTGACCAACCCAACACGCAGAGAGACAAGGGAAGGAGGAAACCAAGTCAGCGGAGACACCAGCGGAGGAATACACGTCAGGAAATAGGCACGTATGCAACCAGAGGGAGAACAGAGGGAGATGCGCAAGTGCAGGACTTACAGTGCGGATCTCGAAACCCCCCAACTCAAAAACTTAGGCTTTGACTCGAGGGGCATTTTGGATGGGGCTCAAAACCTTAGGTTTTGACATTAGGGGGTTTCGAGATCCTCGCTTTAACGAACGCATGACAATTCAGAACTGGCAGGTAAAAATACAAGTCCCAACCCCACCTGTCATGGTGACAAGCACATGCACTCCATGGCTATCACATGCACTCCATGGCTATCACATGCACTCCATGGCTATCACATGCACTCCATGGCTATCACACACCTCCTGCCTTGTCGCCTCCACGGTTGATCTCACCAGCATGTTATCCCGGTAGCTCAAGGCTCCAAGCCAAAGAACACACCCTTCCCAACAGCACGCACCTCCTGCCGCCCTTCCCAACTGGCGGCATCAAGTCCACCCTTCCCAACTGCACCTCCACGGTGGACTTGACGAGCATGTTGTCGAGGTAGCTGGCGTGGTTCTTGGGGCAGTGCCGCCCACTCCTACAACATTCCACACTCAATGGCAGCACCCACCTCCTGCCGTCTCGCCTCCACGGTCGATTTCACGAGCATGTTGTCGAGGTAGGAGGCGTAGTTCTTGGGGCAGCGGCGCCGGAACTCCCTGAAGTGCACGTCGGCCTGCTTGCTGTCGCCCATCAGGCTGTACACCAGCCCCTTGCACAGGTACGGCCGGAAGTCGCTCGGGTCGCTGCTGCTGATGGCGTCATACTGCGCTATGGCCGCCTCCACGTTGCCCTGGGGGTGGGGAGTGGAGGGAGAGCAATGGGGAAAAAGCGGGTGAGGAGAGAGGGGAGCGTGAGTGGGCCTGTCTGCTGTCAGCCATGGGGCAGAACACAACCCCCTTGCACTGGTACAGGCAAAAGCCGGTGGGGTCGGTCTTGGTTGTTGCGTTATACTGTGCTATGGCTGCCTCAACGTTGCCCTGGGGGTGGGGAGGATGGGGAGAGTGGCAATGAGTGGGGAAGAACGCAAGGATCAATGCTTAGGAGCCGGAGAGAACAGATGATCCACGGGGAGACCTTAGGCAGTTGAGCACACGCGTGAGTAGTCTATTTTTGAGGCGCCTCAAAAATAGTTGAGCACAAGCGCGCTCCAGCATACAGGTAGACAACAACAGATAGGTGTGGGGGAGTGAGTCGGAGTCATGGACCCATCACAGTAAGTGTGGAGCCGTCAAGAGTCGGAAAGTACAGCCAACGATCGTCACTCTCACTCTTCGCACAGCAACAGCACCGCATGGCAGCATGGCAGCATGGCAGCATGGCAACAACGACTCTTGCTGCCATGAAAGCATGGGTAAAATCATGCGAGTGGCAGGGACAGACTCCAGAGAGAGCATGAGAGAACACGGGCACATGGGCACTGGCTACAATCTACGAGCAAAGCAAATGAGAAGGGAGTGAGTCAGAGTCATGGAAGAGAACCCCACTTGGACCCATCACAGCACGTGTGGAGCCCTCAAGGGACGTACAGACAACAATCGTCACTCTCACTCTTTGCAGATCAACACAGCACTACAGCATGGCAACGACAGCTCTTGCTGTCATGACAGCAAGCATACCACGGGTCGTGAGAAGCACCAGGGACTGGACTCCAGAGGGAGCATGTGAGAACCCAGGGCACATGGGCACATGGGCACATGGGCACATGAGCGCATGGGCACTGGCTACACATCAAGGCCAGTTCAAATCAGGGAGTGAGTCGGAGTCATGGAAGATCGCCCCACTTGGACCTATCTATCACACGCAGTGCGGAGTCCTTTAAAGTCGGGAAGTGCAGACATGGTCGTCACTCTCACTCTTGGCACAACGAACCACTTCAAAGCAGCATGACAACAACGGCCCTTGCGGCCATGCATGCACATGGGTACGTGGGCACATGAGCACACGGGCACGTAGGCACGTGGGCACGTGGGCACGTGAGCACACGGGCACGTGGGCAGGTGTCCACATAGGCGCATAGGCATTGGTTACAAGATCAACGACAGCAAGTTAAGAAAGGAGGGAGAGAGTCGGATTCATGGAAGAGAACCCCACATGGACTCCTCACAGCACGTGTGGAATCCTGGTAGTCAGCAGTGCGAGATAACGGTCGTCATCCTGTCTCCCCACACATAAAGACAGCGCAGCACAGCAAAGACAACGGCTACCGCGTCAACAAGCAGAGAGCAGGAGGCGAGAACGGCGATCCAGCAGTAACGGCCCTGACGCCTGTGACAGCTCGCCTGTGACAGCTCGCCTGTGACAGCTCGCCTGTGACAGCTCGCCTGTAACAGCACGGCAGCGTTGGCTAGTGAGAGAATGCGGGGAGCAATGCGAGAATCGCAGGAGAGAGTCGGAGTGATGGAAGATGACCCCACTTGGACCCAACACACTGGATGACTTTTGAGGCGCCTCAAAAATCACTTGGACGATGGAGTCGGAGTGATGGAAGATGGCCCCACTTGGACCAACACACTGGATGAGGGGCCTTCGTGTCGGTCGGCAAGTGTGTGACCGTCGTCATTCCCACTTCTTACACAGAGCCACTTAAACCCTTCCGTGCAAACAAAGCGTCTCCGCTAGACAGGATAGCCAGGAAGCACAAGACGGCGAAGAGTAGGAACACCAGAAAAAGGGGAGTGTGTCATGTTCCAAGTCTGCGAGGCATGCATCACTTGGAAGGGAGTGAGTGGCGGCTCAAGGCAAGAGGGGGGTGAGGGGGAGCGAGTCAGAGTCGATGGATTACAGCCCCACGTGTCCAGGTGCATTTTGAGTCCAGCCCCACTGAAAATCCATCGACTCAAAATGCACCAAGGCAAGAGGGGGGTGAGGGGGAGCGAGTCAGAGTCAATGGATTACAGCCCCACTTGGACGCATCACAACAAGTGTGGCGGCCTCGAGAGTCGGTGCTTTGGCACAGCTGTCGTCACTCTCGCTCCCCTGCTTTCCAGCGGCGCCAACAAGGATGAGTCAAACCCTCAAACCGTACTCTCGACACGCATTCAGCCTTGTTCGCATGGTAAACATTCTACCAACAGGAGCCCCTGAGCCCTGACCTCTCGCCTGCAGAGCGTGCAGCTGCCCTGCAACATAGGTTGGTGGCCTCCTGGTGCTTGCATCTACGGCATTTTAACACCCGAAACCCTGAACCCGGAATCTTCACCCCGTCAGCCCACCTGCAGCGCGTGCAGCTGCCCCAGCAGCATCCTGAGATTGGAGGCCTCCTGCTGCTTGTAGTCGACTCACAAACCAGTGTCCCGTGCCCTCAACCCGGCGAGCCCAGACCCAGAAACCCCAACACGCTGACCCCACCTGCAGCGCGTGCAGCTGCCCCAGCAGCATCTTGAGGTTGGTGGCCTCCTGCTGCTTGCCCGCCTGTCCCGCCTTTCCCACCGCCTCCTCCACCATCCCCAGCACCAGACTGTCCTCGCCGCTCCTCCTCATCACCGTCGCCAGGCCCTGGAACACACAGGGGAAACAGGAAGTAAGGGCCGCATGGACTGTCCCTTCCCCACAACTCGCTCCGCCTTTCCCAGCACCAGGCTGTCCTCGCCGCTGCGCCGCATCACCGTCGCCAGACCCTGCCCCGACAAGTGCAGACAAGAAGGGGGGGCGGGAAAGAGCGGGAGGAGAGCACCGTGGGAAGGAAGCGGCCAAAGGAAAGCGGAGTTCGGAGGCGTCAGAGGAGGATGGCAGGCGCGCGAGAAAAAAAAGAAAAAGAGCAGCACCTAGCAAATCATTACCTGCAGCGCACGCGCGGAGAAGGGGTTGACTTTGAGGACATCCTGGAAGCCCTTCCTCGCGGCTTGCAGGGTTCGCCCACGACTCAACGGCACCTGCACGAGTCAACTGGCTTGCGCGCACCATACCTGCAGCGCGCGCGCGGAGAAGGGGTCGACTTCGAGGATGTCCTGGAAGCCCTTGCGCGCCGCCTGCAGGTCACCCACAAACTCCTGCGCCTGCGCGCGGATGTACTTCCACTCCATGTCGTCCGGCTCTATCTGTTACGCGCAGTGGGAGAGGGGGGTTGGCGCGACGCAAGGGCAACAAGACACTCACTTCCACTCCATGTCGTCCGGCTCTATCTGCCGAGGGCGGACGGAGAGAAAGAACGACGGAACGGAGAAATGTGACAAGGAAACGAAACGCTCGAGAACGTCGGGCTCTATATGCCGCATACAGTGAGGGAGTGGGGGCGGGGGGGGGAAGGGGAGGAGCGAGACAAGAGATATTGAAAAAGTAATTTTACTCGGGATCGGCGGAATCTATCTGCAGAGGGGAAGAGGGGAGAAAGAAGACGAACGGAGTTGAGGCTACACAAAAGGTTCGGCGTACTTGCTTCGCTATTCTCAACTCGTTAATCCAGGTTCCAACACTGATCCGTTAGTTCAGGATCGCACCTCGATGAGTTGGTTGAGGATCTTGATGCCCCCCGCGAAGTCCGCGGATTTCATGCGCACGCGGAGCAGCATGCGCAGCGCCGTCACGTCCTTGGGGTGCTTCGCCAGGAAGTCCTCCAGCATCTTGATCGCGCGCTCCTGCTCCGCCGCCTGGTCGCGCGCGCTCTCCGCCACCTCCGCCTTCCCCGCCTCCGCTTTCCCACCGGCCTTGCCCCCGTCGGGGGTCTGCCGGCCCACGATCGGCGTGGGGGGCGGCGCGAGGTTCTTGCCGGCTTTGGCTTGCGCGGCTCGCGGGAAGCCGAAGGCTAGGCTGAGTGTGACGCACGTGCCCACGAGGAACGACGGGCCGTACCGTCGCACGCGTGCGACGAGTTGATTGGAAACGACGCGTTGAAATGCGTCGTCATCGTCGCATGAAACGGCATCAGGGTGCTCGGCGACGAAATCAGTGCCAGACGATGTCGCAGCTGATGTGGACTTATTTGATTGGCTGGAGGAGCCGAAAAGAGGATATGCCACGTTGTTCAACGGCCGCGCACGTTCCTGAAAACCCGGGACCGAAGCCCCGTTGGTCGGACCGCTGTAGTCCGACGAAGTTGGGTGTGATTCGCACGTGCAGCGGAGCCGCACAGATCCAGCGCCGATCGCGGCGGGAGCGGCGGCAACGGCGACGGATGGGCGAAGGCGGAGCTGCGAATCCGCTGTGAACAGCGACACTCGCGACGAGGTCCCGGCGGACGAGGGTGGGGCGGGGAACGCCATCATGGAGTGGCTTGACGGCCTGCCAGCGAGACGAAAGAGAAAGAGTCACTCTGAGCTTTCGAGTCGTGATCTGGGAGAAACGCCTCAAGATAAGGAAAGGAGTGAAGTGATGAGTATACCAAGGGGGGTTGGATCCATTATAGGGCCAGCGATGACGATATGGGGAGCGACACAAGGGGAGAATGGTGGAAGGTGAGGGGCGCGGGGTTCTGGGGACGGTGATGGGACGAGTGGAATGGAGGTAGACATGCTGAGATGGCGGGAAAAGCACACCAGGGTGACTCAGCATGTGCCAGCTCTGCCCAAACCTAGAAGTCCAAAATGCCAGATAACAAAAAGTACGTTTGTTAATGGAGCAAATTCACATTCAGATTAATCAGGTGTAGAGAAAGAAACTCAAATTTGTCGAGCCTGACTGTAACGCAGAGGTCAAGATCTCCCGAGCGGGGCGGGGCTGGCGCCCATCGAAACCAATCAGAGAGAACGCGACGTCCTTTTTGCCAGAATCCATGTCAGCTCAGCACCAATGCGACCAGGGCAAGACCGTCAGATGCGGGCGCTCCAGTGGAGTGGCGAGGTGCATCGCTCGCTGAAACCTGCGATAGGCGGAAGCCGTGAAGCGCACTGCTGACAAACCGCCATCTGTCGCCCACATCTCGCCACATCAATTACCAGCTTCGCGAGACTTCGTGACAACAAATTGCCCCCTGCAAATTTCCCATTGGCCAGAGTGAGCCGTGGTGGTGGTGCAGAAATCTGGCATTCCTGATGCAGCAGTCAGTTAATCATTCACCCCGAGTGTACTGCACGTGCAACTACTCTCTCTACTGCGCACCGAGCAGGGATGGGTGCAAGGAAGGGAAGCCCAGCCAAAGAAAAGTCTCGCCTTTTCCTCTCACGACGCCATTGCACTCTGCAAGATCGTCTCCCGAATAGGAGCAACTACCTCTGAGACGACCAGTTCCGGAGAGACGATTGAATTGCTCTCCTGTTTAGCTCGTACTCGCGAATGGCGACACCTCGTCGTGGCAGCGGCGCGCTTTCCCAGGGGGCTGGGGGAGCTTCCCTCGGCGGCGACAAGCGGGGCGTTCATGCTCCGTCCGCCCCGTCGTTCGCGCCGGTCACTCCAGGCGCAGGAGAAGTTTCGACGAAGCACCGCTCGCGCTTGAATGATTGCGACTGCTCTCCTCGGCCCGCCGATGCCGCATCACCTGTGCGGACACTGGCTGCGCGCGCGCACGCGGACGAGGACGAGGATGGGGGCAAAACTCACGCATATGAGGAGGCGCAAGCGGAGAGATCAAAGTCCACGCTGGGGGCTCCGGAGAGGCGGGGAACCCGCGCAGAGAGAGAGGCGGAGGAGCGGATGCGCGGGCAACTGGCGGATGCGCGGAAGATGGTCCGCGCGCTGGTGGGGGAACTGGCGGCGAGAGACGTTGAGGGGGATGATGACGTGGCATCGGGGGATGATGACGAGGATGAGGATGAGGATAACAGCGAACGAGGAGCGGAATTCGACCTGACCAAGGTAGGCCTTGCTTGGCGATGAGCTTAGCGATGAGCTTGGTGATGACTCATCGGAGTATTGACTGCCGCCCTTTCGTGCTCCCATCATACGTCGTGTGACATTGTAACGAGGTGACCTTTGAGTCAACTCAAAGATCATGCATCCCTAACAGCGCCCAGACTTCCCAGGGTCTCCTTTCTGCCCCTAAGCTTCTTCCGTCATTCACGCCCTCTTCCACAACCCCAGGCGCTGCGCCAGGAGCGGCGGGTGGTGCGGCTGAAGCAGCAGCTGGCGCGGACCAGGGCGGAGAGAGACTCGTTAAAGGCGGAGGCGCGGATGCAGAGATCGGAAAGGGAGGGGCGGGAGGAGGAAGCGCGCTTGGAGGGGGCAGCCGCACGTGATGCTGGGCTGCATGCCGACGCTGCTGGGCTAGGGGCCGAAGCTAAGAGGCTTGATGCCGAGGCTGCACGGCAGGAATGTCTGGAGGCTCGGGAAGCTCGTGAGGCTGAGGGCCGGAGCGTGAATGTTGTATTGAGGCAGCTGGTATCGAGGATGAAGGGAGCGGAGGAGGAAGTGAGGGCGGCGAGAGAAAGGATGAGTGGAGGGATGACGGAGAGGGGAGAGGCGAGGGGCAGTGGTGGTAGCAGTGGCACGGGAAGGGGCGAGTGGTGCACTGGCGGGACGAGTGCGAGCAGTGGCGACGCCAGCAGCGGTACGAGCAGCGAAAGCCATTGGGAAACAGCAGCAGCAGGAGTGGTTGGCGATGAGGGAGAGGGAGTGGGAGAGGGGGCTGAATGCGTGGCGGGCGAATGGCAGGCGTTGTTGGCTCAATTGGGCGGCGAGGAGATGCAAGAGGGTGTGGCCGGTGTGCTGAGGGACCTCCTGGGGGAGGTGCATGTGCTGGTGGCGGCAGCAGCAGCAGCGGGTGCAGGGAGCAGGCAGGGAGGGAGGGCTAACCAGCCGGCAATCAGCAGCGACCACCAGGCGACCAGAAGTGAGCAGCAGATGACAGCAAGTGAGCCGCCGAAGAGCACTGATGGCTGTTGCTGCGTGGGGAGCACAGCACTGGAGGACTTGCAGGCACAGGTGCTGCTGGCGCAGGGGGAGGTGTGTCTGGTGCAGGCGCAGCTGCAGCGGGTGGAGGAGGAGAGGCGGCGGGAGCGGGAGAGGCACCGGGCTGCTATGAGGCAATTTGTGCGATTCGCTATGGAGGATAGGGAGAGGGAGAGGGGGAGGGTTGAGGGGGAGATGGGGCGTGAGAGGGGGGAGTTGGAGGAGAGGAGGAGGAAGGAAGTGGGTGCGCTGGAGGAGGAAGTGGAGAGGGTTAGGAGGGAGGTGGAGCAGGCGAGGGAGGGGGAGAGAGAGAGGGTTCAGGAGGCGTGGGAGAGGGGGAGGAGGGAGGGATCAGCCGAAGCGGATTTTATGAGGCAGGTGATCCAGGAGGGGGAGAGGCGAGTGATAGAGCTCAAGGCGAGAGTGAGCCAGCTGGAGGGGGGGAAAGAGGAGGCTGAGAGGGAGAAGCGGGCATGGGAAGGGGAGCGGAGGAGGATCGAGGGGGAGATGAAGGGTGCGGAGGCCAGGATGAAAGCGCTAGAAGCTGCCTTGAGAGGGGCGCAGGGGGAAGCTGATGAGCACAAAGAGGCGAGGCGTGCGGTGGAGGGGGAGCGGCACGCGCTGATGAAGGAGGTGGTGCGGTACAGGGAGAGGGCCAAGGGGCTGGAGAGGGCGGTGCGGGAGGTGAAGGGCGAGATGGCCCGCCAGGCAGCCGTGGCCACGGCTGTGTATGTCCGCCACATTGCAGCGCTGCAGGAGGGCATGCCTGCTGCTGCTGTCATCACTGCTGCTGCCCCTGCTGCTGCTGCCGCCCCTGCAGTTTCTGCTGCTCCTGCTGCCCGTGCACGTCCCTCCCAGTCCAGCAGCAGCGAGGGGTCGGAGCAAGGGGGTGGTGGGGCGCTTGTGGGGTGCTGCACGTGCTGCCCTGGCAGTGAGAGTCCAGCGGAGAGACCGGGAAGACGTACCAGTAGCAGCAGTGAAGCAGGCTTGCCATGTCTCCTAAGCTTAGACAGCTGCAGGCACGGGGGGGACAAGGGGGCAGGGGCAGCGGGGGGTGTGGTAGAGGGTCAGTGGAGCGGGTGGAATGCAGCAGGGGTGACGAGCAGAGCATGTGAGGGGAGCATGCACCATGGACTGGTGCGTGGGGGATGCAGGTGCGCAGGAGCAGGGGAGAGGCGGGAGCAGGAGCAGGTGGAGTGGGAGGAGAGCGGGCAGGAGTTCATGTCTCTCCTGGACGGTCTTCAGGATGAGTCTTGTGCTCTCAGTCTGTGCTGAACTGCAGGGACTTGCGCATACTTATTATGACTGATTGGCCGATGGGTGCAGAGAACACCAAAAAAACTGGTATTGCTTTGTATGGGTCCAATGAGTACACATATTTGCTTTGACAATCTGGTGCTTATGCAGAATAGTAAGCACGTATGGTATTTGCTCATCCTAAGCTTTAGGATCACAGCACTCCATCACAGCAGGTCCAGCAGAATATTGAACAGCATCTGCCTGGCACCCACGTGTCAGCGGGTCCCAGCAGGCAGTGATCAATGGACGCGGTATCCACGTCTCAGTAAACCCCCCCACACGCCTCTGTCAGGGCAGGTCCAGCAGAATGTTGAACAGCATCTGCGTGCACCCACGTGTCAGCGGGCCCCAGCAGGCAGTTGTGCAGGCATGTCCTATTGCACCCCCCATACGCCTGCATCACAGCAGGTCCAGCAATATATTGAACAGCATCTGCACCCATGTGTCAGCGGGCCCCGGCAGGCAGTAGTGCAGGCAGTCCGCGCGCCCATCCGCCAGCCGCACATGCCCGTCCGGCCTCAGCCCCGTGGCCGTATCCACGTCCCAGTACACGCCCCCATGCCGCTCCACCAGCCCCCGCGCCAGCTCGTTCTGCCGCCCAAAATCCCCCCAGTGGTATGGCAGCTGGGCGGCCTCTTGTCTGTATCTGAAGGGCTTGGAGTGGCGCTTGCAGTGGGCGTGGCCAGGGGGCGTGTTGCGGTAGACAATGAGGGTGTGGGGGGCAGCAGCGCGGATGGCAGCCAGGGTGACGTTCAGCTGTGATACAAACTGCTCGTCCTCTGTATAGTGTGCTCCACGGTTCAGTATTATCGCAGCAATGGGCTTCTCCGTAGTTGCTGGCTTAGGTTCCGATTCGCCCAGAGGGATTGTTTGATCGCCGCTCCTATTCGAAACATTCCCGTTGGTGGCAGCACCACTGTCAGCCGCACCAGCATTACCAGCAGCAGCATCCCCACCCCCTGTCCCCCCAGCAGCACCACTGCTCCCGTTGAGCACGTGCAGCCATGGAAAGCTGACGAGCTTCGGCCAAGCCAAGGTGAGCTTGGGGGAGGGGTCAAGGGCGTCGCTCCTCACGAAAGCCACACTCGCATCCGCGCATCTCTCCTCCGCGCACAACGCGTGCTGCGCGCGCATCGCTATCTCCCTCCCCCACCGCTCGCAGAACCCTGGCAGGCTGTCTGACGGAACGCAATCGGGCGGCAGGGCTCGTCGTTTCTGCACGAACGTGCTGTTGCGCCCCATGAACAGTGCGTTGCGCAGCGCGGCGAAGAGCATGGCGTTGAGCGAGTCGCCCACGATCAGCAGCCGCCGCCCCGCCAGCTTCCTCACGAGCTCACTACCGTCGAACTCCCGCCATGGCCCGCACCTGCCGCTCACGCGCCATCGGTACTTGAGACTCTGCCGCACTCTCCACTCATCCCGCTCCCTCTTTCCGCCCGCCTCTGCCCATCTTGCGGCCCCAGTCCGCCCGGTCCCGATTCCCCCGCGCGCCACGCTCTCAGTCCCCGCTGTTCCGTCCGCCTGCGCCATTCCTTCCGCTTCCGCTATTCTATCCGCCTCGCCGAACGCCACCGCCCCCCCGCCCTGCGCCACGTGCCCCTCGTCGCACTGCCTCCCGCCGTCCCACCGGCTCGGCAGCGCCCACGGCAGGACACGTGGCGTCGCGTCGTACGTCCAGCGGCCTCGCGCCGTCATACAGCGGAGCCGCGAGCGGAAGGCTCTAACGGCGTCTCTCTTCAAAAGCGTGGAGCCCGGTATCCCTCCCGAGAAGGTCATCTCTTCACGATCGTCTTCGGCTGGTTCCGGAGTCGACTCGGCGTCAGAGGTGGGCTCGGCGTCAGGGGTGGGCTCGGCGTCAGGGGTGGGCTCGGCGTCAGGGGTGGACTCGGCTTGTCGCGTCGACGGCGAGGAATCTGGGATTGTCGCTCTGGCGACCGCTCGACCCCATGGCTCGTCACCCTGACGCTGTCCCGCGATTCCCTTGTCGAACGCGGGTTTGCGCGACCTCCCTTCCTGACGCGGTTCCTGCTGCCGTTGGATCGCTACTTTCACGGCCGCGTTTTGCAGATCGCGCGAAGGCTCGTCGAAACTAGGATGTTGTCGCCTCGCGCCGCGATTACTAATCTCCAGACTCGTCGCCTTTGCGGCGTGCGTGGTAGAGCCTAAGACGATCGTGTGGTCTGGTAGGACGAGCGGGAGGTAGTCGAAGTCGAAGTCCTGCCGGCACGTGTGGTAGACGAGGAGGAGGATGAAACCGACGACTGACGTCAGCAGGAACGAGTGTAGCGCGGTGCTGACGAGAATCCATGGTCGAGACGTGTAAGAGGGCCTAGACGTCGGAGAAGCGGGCTCGGCGCTAATACCTTTATCTGGTGATAACGTTGCGCACAGGCTCTCCTGGTCGTCCGGAATAGAAACCATCTCGCAAATGTCAAGGCTAACGCCACAACTCAAGCCCTTACTAGAGCTATAAAGAATAATTTTCACTTCCAGAGTAGCACAAACTCAGAGACGACATTGCCGTCGGCAACTCCAAGGCTCGTAGAGCCGACGACAATGCAGCGACGAAGGAATGGGGAGAAGAAAGGGCGAGTGAAGTGGCGCCAGAGCGAGGGGTGGAGAGCGAGAGTGAATTGTCGGCCCCAGCCGTCAGGCGGACGGCTGCCGTGGGGGTCCTGCTGACTGCAGGCGGGTTAGCGAAGCGACGCGGCCCGGTGGTGAAAGCAGTCGGGTGGGTCAGTGTCGGGTTGGAATGTTTTGATTGAAGGCGGGTGATTGGTGCTCCCCAACTCCCGCGCTTTTTCCCATGCCTGCTGACAAATTGATGTTTGGGTGTAACTTTTTCTCCGCTATAGTAAAAGAAATTTGACTACAACGTGAAATACTTCCCCACGATTTCAAATGGTATGCTTAACCAGGTAAACCTAATATTTCGAGCTGTTGAATGGTGCTATAGAACCTGGTATAATCTGTTCAGCATCCTGAAGATTATCGCAGCGTAGACTAGCCTCAGGCAGCACCACGGCCGTTTCCGACGCTGTGAACGACATGCATTGCGCCTGTGATAGTGGCGGCGCCATGCCGATGTAGTTCACGGAAAACGACCTGATACGTCAGAAGTCACTGTAGTTCCACAATCTCCGGAGCTGGGCCTAAAAGCAAGACTACTATTTCTGCTTCGAATAGAGAGGTTCCGCTTCCGCTGCTTCCGCTGCGTCCACCCTTCACTCCACCATATGACCCCTTCCATCCAATTGTCATAACAACCGTCCGACCATGGCAGCAGCAGCGGAGGAGTCCGACGCGCCGCGCTACGTCCTGATTCCACTGCACGGCACGGGCGAGGCGGTGGCGGTGGACGCGGAGCGGCTGCCGGCGGACCACGGCGACCTCGTCGACATTCTCAAGGGCGAGCAGGCGCCGCTGCACTGCTGGCTGCACCTCGCCGTGAGTGCGTAGCGACTCGCCTGATTCATTAGTCACCTGACCTGATTGCTGCACCTCGCCGTGAGTCCACAGCTTTGAGACGTCTCGAAACTGAACCATCACCGCTCGTCGACATTCCCAAGGGCGAGCAGGCGCCGCTGCACTGCTGGCTGCACCTCGCGGCAAGTGAAAGCCTCGTTCGTCCTGTCCTATTCAGGTGAATTCATAAGCGCCTGCACTGCTGCCTGGCTGCACCTCGCCGTGAGTCCATAGCGACTCCTGAATCGCCTCAATAGTCACCTGCTGGCTGCACCTGCTGGCTGCACCTGGTAGCTGCTGGTTGCACCTGGTGGGTGCAAAGCCTCCGCTCCTCCTATCCCAGTCATCTGATCAACCAGACTTCCCATAAATGTGTGACTGGCTGTCCATCAGCGGTTTCAAGACAGCTGGTCGCAACAAAACAAGAGCGCATGTGGCTCTTTTGTCAGCGTCGACTTCGCCTTTCCCTCCCTCGTGCGTGCGTGTGTGTGGCATGTACTCCGGGCGCTGGTCTGCTGGCGCCTGTCGCTCAGCGGGCGTACTTCAAGCAGGGCAACACAGCGGCGTTCCTGGAGATCCTCTCGGAAGGCACCTCGCCAGGTGAGCTTCGCCATTCCACCTCGTGCACGCACACATGCCTCAGGCGCTCGTCACACACTAACATGTGCCTTGGGTGTGAATGCAATGCACTCCGTGCTCCTGATCCCACGCATCAGCAGCACTCCGTGGATCAGTCTTCCTCGTCCTACTGCCGTCCACTCTCTCACGACATTCGTTCTCGCGTTCCCACCCACCCCTTGCTCTCCTCCACTGAAACTCTGTCACCCCCTTGCTCTGTCACCCCCTTGCTCTGTCACCCCCTTGCTCTGTCACCCCCTTGCTCTGCCACCAGATGCGGAAAGAGTGTATGAGACCTCCCGCCCCGAGCGCATTGCCATGCTGAACGCCCTGGGCGCGTACTACACGGGGCTGGGCCGCGTGGCGCGGCGGCAGAAGCGCGACGAGGTGTTGATCAAGGTGGTGGACTTCTACAACAAGGCGGCCAGGATCAGCAGTGAAGAAGTGGCCACGTGGGTGGGCAAAGGTGCGCAGAGCAGGGTGGTGGGTCAGTGCGTGGGCAAGGAGGGGTGGAGGGGAGAAGGGGAATGTGTGAGGCGTGACGAGGTGCTGATCAAGGTGGTGGGCTTGTACATCAAGGCCGCCAGGATCAGTAGCGAGGAGGTCGCCACGTGGGTGGGCAAAGGTTGAGGAAAAAGGGGGGAGCTGGGAGGACACTGCGAGAGAGAAGATGGAGGAAAGAGGGGGGGGAAGTGGGTGGGGATGTCAGCTGGTTTCCCTGCGAGCTCTTCCCCGTCTCCTCCAAATCTGTCGTTTAGCACACCCCTATCTTCCACTGTGTCCAATAACCCCCCCCCCCCCCCCCACAGGGCAGCTGCAGCTGGTGAAGGGCGAGCTGCACCAGGCAGAGGAGATGTTCTCCCTCGCCCTCGCTGGCGTCCCGGACTATGTGCCCGCGCTGCTGGGGAAGGTGGGTACTGCTGGGGAAGGTGGGTGCTGCTGGGGAAGGTGGGCGCTGCTGGGGAAGGTGGG